CAAAAAAAACCAACCAAACAAAAAAAACCACAAAAACAAACAAAAAAACCAAAATAAAAACGAAACAAAAAAACCCCCACAAAAACAAACGGAATCTTTAATTCTTTTCCCCAAATAATAATTAAAAAAAAGACAAAGTATTATTTTACCTAAAGCCAAAAGTATAAAAACACTCATTTATAAATAACGCAGGAGGGTTGTTTTTTTTTTTTGTTTGTGTTTTAAAGGAGTGAAGGAAAAGGGCAGTGCAGGAAAAGGGGGGAACAGGGGTGAGGAGGTGCCTGTCCGGAGCGCGGGGCGGACATGGCGTGCCCCGAGCTGCCCCGCGTGTCCCCGTGTCCCCGCCGCCACGTGTCATTCACACGCACGGTCTGAAACACGGGACACGCCGGGGCTCGCCCGGAGAAGGAACCGCCTGCTCTCTCGGGGGGCTGCTAGGAGAGACCTGTCTAACATTTCGATGAGGTTTTTGTCATTTAGTGTCCTGGATGCTACACATCCAAGGGGCTGGGGGGAAGACACTGTATACATGCATGAATTTATCAAGGGTGTTTAAATAACTGCATTTCTTTTTTCTTTTTTTTTCTTTTTTTTTTTCTTATATATAATTATATACATATTCGTTCTTTTTAAAAAATTAAGTTGGTATGTTTCTACTCCCAGAAAGAAACGTCCCAATTCCTCTGAGTCACGATGAAATCTGCAAAAGGGGGAGGCTGGGGAAGGGGCTGCTGTAAGGCCATGCCCCGGTCATCACCTGGGAGGTTGCATGGAAAGGAGAGGACAGCCTGAGAGAGGAGGTGGAAGAAAGGTGGAGTCCCATACACACAGGTCCTGGGTGCTGCTGAGGGATGGGGAGGAGGAAGGTGTTACCTGTCTGCAGCAGGAAATACAAGAGTTTGCTGCCCTTTCAGGCTGCAGCCCTTCCTACTGTCCAAGTTCAAGAGAGCCCTTAAACAAACTGTGGGGTTCCACAGGCAAAGCAGTACTATCTGCAAGACGGAAAAGAAACCTAAAACTTCTCATTTTGACCAGGAATGTTGAGTTGAAGGGGGGAAAATATATGTAAAGAGGATAAGGTAGGCCCAACATATTTGTTCAGGCTTTATGTTAAACAAATATCTTAATACAGGTATCTTGCTGTGCCTATGCTAACACCCACACAAACCAGTAAGAGGGAACACAAACCATTTAAGAGGGATAGACTCAAATTTATTACCTCCTCTGACAAGCCTCTTCACTTCCCAGGCAGTTAGCATTCATTATTTCTCTATCTGGCCCAATGGACAGCCTGCAGTGAAACATGTTCACAAGGTGCAAATGCAATGCATTTATGCTCTTTTTGTTCTGTAAACTAGAGGTGTTAGGAATATTTCCTACTGCCAGCAATAGGAAGTTAGCAGGGAAGAATTAGCTGGAGCAGTCTTAAATTATAAAGAGCAAAACTCTCCCCTCACCCCTCTCAGCAACAAACTTGTGGCACCAGCATCTCCTTTACTGGGCTTCTAATCAATTCAAAACATCAAAGCCTTGAACAAGCAGCTCATGACTTTGCCATTTAAGAAAAAAAAAAACAAACAGTTGCTTAGAGAACAGCAAGAGGCTCAATAGAACATATTTAAAAACAAACTCCTTCCAATACATCCTTCACTTACAGATCGCCATCTCCAAGTCCTGTACCCACTTTCCTAAAGCCTTTTGGTATTGCATCATTCACAGGTATTGACCAAATGGTGTTCTTCAGACCAAGACCACCTCTATTTCTACTCTGTTTACCTGAGTCTCCTACATATACTATTCTAAATTTATTTTAAACTACACAACCGTTCTCCAACTGATCTACTTGCCCAACATTTTTCTTGCCATCATTCTGATGAGTTTTTACCTCTGGTTTCCTGTATACAGCCATGACCCCAAGTAAAACCCATTTCAGGAAACAAAACCCACTCTGATCAGCTTAAAAATCAGATTTGCTTCACACAATTTATTTCTAAGGAGGTTTGTTTCATACCTCTATGCGAGTTTTGCTGGTTGTTGACCTTTACCTTTATGGTAAATTTCATTCTCGCCACTGGCTCTTCTGTATCATCTCTGATCTTTTTGTCACTATCTCAATGTTTAAATAATAAAATGGTATAAAATTGCACAAGGAAGTAATATAAAGGACCCTCAAACCATTATCAACAGTACCAAAATATACCTGGATTCAAGGGACTGCTATTTTTCCTGAGTGTCTTGTGGCCCCAGCAGAGCAAGGAATTTCCTGTATACTAGGACATATGTTCACAGTCTGAAAGTGAAGGAACCAGCCATCTCAAAAGCAAGCTTGACCCACACTAACTCCCATCACAGACCCAGCATGACTCTTACCACACATTCCACTCACAGCATCTCCAGTTAACTTTTTCACTCAGAGAAACTGCCAGAAATTTCCTTCCTGGTTTCCAACTTGCCTTCTTTTGCAAAACCTGTCTAAGCAAGAGAAGCTGCCCATGGGACCAAGCACACCAGCTGATTCAGCACAGTACAGTGCAGAGACAGGACTAGAACATAACCCCTTTAAAGTTTCAGCACAAGACCATGGAAGGAAAGGTTAGCAAGGACACCTGAAACATGATTAGGCAGATTTCAATTACAGGCAGAAGCAGCTGGAAAGCCCTCAAAGTATTTCCCATACTGCCATATCCTGAAGCACTCAGCAGGGATCGGGCAGCAAACTTGTTAGGGGAGAGACAGAACTGCAGATTATTCAGCCCTAGAGTTATTCAGGAGAAACAGGTTGTCCTATGCCAGTCTGGCCAGATCAGTAGAAAAAAGGCTGCACTGCAGATTTGCAGTCACAGAAAGACAGAGAAGTCAACAGACCGCATTTCCAAGTGCCACAGGGTTTCAGAGAGACAGCAGCCAGGACAGTAAAATGAAAGAAAACTGCTTCCACCCTGTAACCTCTGTAACCAAGTGATGCAGTCTGGCTGCCTCTGACTGACTTCCATGATGCTAGCAGTCTCTCTCCCACCAAATTCTTGTTGTTTGTATTAGTTTTATGAAGTGGGATTACACTGCTCTACCTTAAAATAAATGCAAGAGACTGGAGATGGAAGAAATAAAACACTTTGTCTATTTGCCCCTGTTGTTGAAAGGAGTGGGAATAAGGGGGAAGGTGCTGAAGAATTTCATTGGTTTAATTTTTTTTTTTTTCTTAGCTTATATCATTGACCTAAAAAACATAACTGGACAATTTTAAGCCACAACAAACACAAGTTAGCATGGGTTTAGAGAAGCTCCACAGGGCAAGAAGAATATTGCACATACAAATGCAAGAAGAGAAAATTCTGTTTCCCAGACCAGAAATTCATGAAAAGAAAAGAGGCTAGAGGCAGGGGAAATAGTGGTAATCACACCCCAAAACATCTCATTTGAAGTTCTTAGGAAATAATTTTCTGAAGGGATTTGAAACAGCATTACAAAAGGTAAGAGAATCTCAGCTTTCTTGGGATGCAAATTCTCTGTTTTCATGTAAAGGGAAGGGGAATACATTTTCCTATCACAGTGAAATGAACAAATGACACAGATGAGCCATGACACTGAAGATCTCTCAAATCCAGAGTTACACTGTAAGAGATGGAAACTAGCTTTTCCATGTCACTTCTCCACAAATAAATCATAACAACATCAAAGGCAATATCCAATTCCTAATCATGAAAAGTGGCTGAAACCAATTTTTGTATTGTATCTAAATCAAAAATTTTAAATGTCTGCAGAAAACCTTAAGTATTCAAATTCCAGATTAAAAGTACCACTAATGAATTCATAAAGTAATCTCCAAAGCATGGCCCAAGGGATACAGAGCCTTTCCCTGGAGGTGAATGCAGATAAAATACAGTGTGGGGACTGTCTTGACACAATAGGAAAGCAGACAGGGTTGTCATAACAACAGCAGGATTACTGCAGGGAACAAAACTAAAGCAGAAAAAGCAAGAACAGCAAGAGAAGATCTAAGCAGAGAACAGTTCATTAATTGCACAGACACTCCAGCCTGTCTCCCTGTTGGGGATTTATATACAGAGATTGTTTCTCGCTGGGATATGGCAAAGGGATTGACAGTTTTTTTAAAGGACAAAGATAACAGCCACAAACGTGGCATAGAGCAACAGTCAAGAGAAATAAATTAATAAATAAACCCATAAAAAGTCTGATTCTTGATTCTCATGAAGTCTCAGAGAGGAAGGGATTGGCTTCACATGGACTCCTTTGCTTTTAGTCAGCAGTTCAGAATTTCTTGGATAAACTGGATTTTCTTTGTATTTTTAGGTGTCAAACATCCTGACCTCCTGGCTATGAAGAAATTTCAAGGCAATTTCTCCAAACTCCTCTTTCAAGACTTTGTTTAGAGACAGGAAGTTGAAGACCATTGGGAAACAAATATTAAAACTGTGGCCAGCACATTGCTAAGAATTTGAACAAGTCACAGTTGTTGGAGCCTGAGGAAATCAATTTATAAAGGTATCCCCACCAGCCCTAGACCAGCTGATGGTAGCATTGTTCTGAAGCTCTCTCTGTGGTCCTCTTGCAATTACTTCTGTGAATTCACAAACACTTGAAGTCACCCCTTTTAGAGTTTTTTGTCCATGCGTCGTTCCACAGCTTGCAGCAATAGCTCCGAGTACTGTTCCAACAAAGCTAGTGTCTGCTCATCTCCCAAACTCTTGGGACTCGGTAGATTGGCACCACATCCCTCACTCAGTGGGCTAGCGTTATCTTGTGGCTTTACCAGTGCCTCCTTATCTTTTGGAAGCTCTTCTGCATCCTTCAGAGAGTCCAATTCTTTCTTCATTGAGGAGAATGTTTCTGTCAGGAGGCCTGCTATTTTATCTTTGTCAGTAGAAGATTCTGTATCATTTAGTACCTGAAAACAAAAAGGAGGGGGAAAAAAGAATGCATTGGGGTTTAGGTAGAGCACCAAGTAAGCAATTTTAGCCCTTCAGGGAAGTGAAGCCATGAAGATTTGCAGACCAATCGAGCCTACTTCTCTTCAGCATTTGAGACTGCCCATTTAGATATACAGCAGGACACGCATCCAATACTCTCTATCTGCACAAAATCCAGAGGCATTACTCCAATAGGACAGAGATGGGAAACACATTTTTGGGAAGTGTTCCCCTTATAGTGGGCTTAAGAAGGTACTGTGTTTCCCAGCTGCAGCACAGGGCCACAGTTTCCTGTCCCTCCTGCCTGCCAAATGCAGCTGGTCCCAGGAACAGAGCAAGGTCAGAGAGCTAATGCAAGTGCTGTGCCCAGAGCTGCAGAGGACCATGTGGCAGATGCTCACCATCAAAGCCTCACACTCATTGCAGGAGACTTGACAGACCAGTACTGAGCAAAGAAACAAAGAGCTGTTATATTGCTCTGCACGTAGCTCTGGTCTGGTGGTGAGACAGACAGGCTGCGTGTTCTTTTCAAAGTTGGATTCTCATGGTATCCCACATTTGCTAATCCTTTCCCCAGGCATCAAAGACAAAGAACAGATGGGGCTAATGAAACTCAAAGCTGCTATAATATTTCATATCCCTGAAATACTGTATAACCATTAATTAATTCCCTAATACCCCTTTGAAAAAGAGCATACTGTTATCTTCAGTTTACAGATAGGCTAAACAGACTGAAAACTTAATTGATTTGCTCAGAGTAACATAGCAAACCATTGGAAAATCCAAGAGCTGGGAATCAGGAGCTCCTGCATCCCTGGTTCAAGCTGAAGGTGCAGTCAAGTGGACAGCCAGGCAGCTTGTGTCACTGAATACACAGTCAAGAGAACACCTTGAGGCAGCAAGCAGTTACATTCTGTGTAAGATGTCTGTGGGCTGTAAAGCCCAGCTACTGTACCAGAGCCCGTGTGCGAGGTCACTCACCCTGCGGTAAAGGTGGAGGGCTCTGCGCATGCTGTCCTGGAGCTCGGACACCACGTGCTCACACTGCTCTATGCTGATGCCCGATTCTGGAGGGAGGAAAAGATAAAAGCACAAGTTAAGGCACAGACACGTCACTATCCATAGCCTCATAGTTCGGTAAGAAAACAGGTTTTTTAATGCATTTTTGAAAGACCACACACACACAACTTGTCATTCAATTTTTGGGGCTGGTCTGAGCAAATTATTAAATAGGCACATTCTGTGTGAGCTTTCCTTCATACTAACTAGACATGCTGCTTGCTTCAAACACCCCTATTTTTCCAGTCTTTAGACTCTCCAAAGTCAGCAATGTTTTTCCTCACATTACACATTTTTATTACAGTCACAGATAGTCACAGATTACCCATGTGGTTTCCAATTACAATTAAAGACATGTTTGCAATGAGGGCTTCCAGTGGCAGGAGGGATTGATCCAAGGAGCCTCAAATTTTCTAGTTAGAAATCTACAAGCTCCCCATCATGCATCCTTCTGCACAGTGTGCTACTGAAGCACAGAGGATGATGGATTATACAGAATTATCGCAGTGTTCTCTAGTGAGGACTGAGGTCCAGAGGAGTTGTGACAAGCAAACTCAATCTGAACAGAATTGCATTGCTGAGCAACCCATGACATACACTGCTGATACACCATAACCCAAAACTAAAAAATAAAAGCAAGCAACTGAAGGACAGCATCTTCTGCCTGTCCCCACCAGATGTTATCTCCAAAAGATGAGTTGAAGACCTTCAATCTTTACGCAATAAACACTTTCATGAGTTAGACATAAACCATGAACAAAGACATAGACACACAAACATAATCGTCAATTTTCAAAGGCCTGGACAAAGGACATTCAACTTTCTTTAGCTACCCCAACCCGAAGTTTTGTCACATTAGCATTGTAATTTCTGTAATTCTAAGAAAACCATCTTTGAATAGACTGGAGGGGACCTGAGCTAATTTTATGAATACATTTAGATGATGCATAAACAAATACAGCCAGAAAAACATCTACACAAACAAAAACATCTACAAAAAGCAAAGGGGCATGAACAAATCCTTCCATCTGCATTCTTTGATCCTAAATCACCCATGGAGTCTGAGCCGAGTGGACTTCAGTGCAATCCAAGATTCTTGCTTTCTGCCCCCCTCTTTCCCTCTTTATGTTTGAAACCCAGCTGTTTCTTCTCATGATTGTTTCTGGATTTCTCCTCTGATCATTGTTTTTATGCTGGTCTCCAGCTCTGGGAGGTGCCAGTAAGGAGAAAGGTCATAAAACCTAATATAAATGCTTAAGTAACAGGCAATTTCTGCTTCTCGGGTGTGCAGAGCAGAGCTCTTCAGAAACTAGCAGAGAATATTAAACACAGCAACAGTATTAAGCACATTTACAGCATTTTAACTGTAGATGTCAAAATGCTTTAACAAGAACAATTAAGTCTTTTCATTTGCAGCTGTTAAACAAGCAGGAAATGGAAGGACAGAAAAATTAAGTGGAAACACAGAGTAACAGTGCAAGTCAGAAGCAGAACAAATCTGTATCAACCCTACAGTTTTAATCTAAATTGCCACATTGTGATTTCCAGAAGCCACAGTAAGTTGTTCACAGCAATAGCCAACTTGGATCTAAACAAGTTTTCCAGCATCTACCACTAAAAATTTGGGAAATGTGGTCTGCAAGAAGCTTAAGGCTGACAGCTGCCTACTGAGGAAAAAAAAACAACATTAGGCTCCACAGTGCTATATTATTCTAACTCACTAAAGGATGCTGTTAAATATTCTGTCAGGGTGTGCTATATCTTGGGAGTTGTTAAAAAAAATAAAATCAATACTGAAAAAGTCCTTGATCTTTCTCTGCACTACCTGTCTTAATTCTGCAAACTGACCAAAAACCATTTGCTATGTAGTCTGATTCACAAATCTAGAAGAGAAAACTCAGCCTGAAGAGTACAGACAACTACAAATCTGCTATAGAATGTGATTCAACAGCTTCAGGGTGCTGGAAGAAACCTTACCCCTGTAGGGGAAGGGTCTAAAAATTTCAGATGCATTCACTGTTCTTCAGAGCAGCCACGGTAAGATAACTGCAGGTCCCTTAGACAAAACATTACATTTCCTGTTTTACATAATAGTGCTTCAATCTTAAGGTGTCTGATCCCTCTAGGAATGCAAAAAGAAAAGTAACAGTGCATCAAAACCATATTAAACCTTCTGCAATGCTTTGGTGCAGAAACATTGTGTTTTACCATTCTGATGAATGGTGTAACAGCCTGGCACCACAGAAGACAACTGATCACAGGATTACAGAGCTATCCCTTCTAAGAAATGAGTAAGAACAACATAACAAAAGGGATAAAAACTGTATAGCCCCTTAAGGTACAAGCTATCAGTGCAGTGGTTAACATCCAGTTTTCTAATGCACAACTCAGAAAGGTGTATTTCCTTTCAGATTGTGACACAGAAGAAAAACCTCAGGAGATGGCGTTGGACTAAACAGTGCCACAGACTCTGCCACTGGAGGTTTTCCTGCCTTGGAGGGCAGGATTTCTGCTTCAATTTGAAACTTACCTGCTAGTTTTCATTTAATTTGATTACCTTAAACTGAGGCCTGTAACAGATCATAGAGCTGTTTTCACCAGGTGAAAGTTTTTCATCTTGTACCTTTCTCTCCAAACTAGAGATAATTCAAAAATTAACCCACATTTTTTATGTTCAAACCCTGTACATGCACTGCACATTCAGTTTGCAGACGTGTCCTCAAAGCAGAGTGATAACAGCACAAAGACCTGCTTGCTCTCACAGGTAGCTACAGCCAGGAGCTCACCTCCATGAGCTTTATCTCATGGGAGAAAGTTGTATGCAAACCCTTCTGGACCCTGCACACTTGCACATTAACAAAGGAAAGTTTGAGCTACCTGGCATAACTTCACTGTCAGTATTATCTGTGCTTGCTTGGTTCCATTTGCTGGCCAAACATGCTCCAAGAGGAGAGTGGGGGATGCACCTACACACTCCAGGGGATTCCCAGCATATCAGCTTTTAGGACTGACCACAAAGAGGTTTGAGCCCCTTGAGGTAATTGTACAGCTTAAATCACTAAAAACATAACAGTTCTGAAGCCTGTAAAACATTCAGGTAAAGGACTGTCAGACATAAGACCTAGAGGAAATGGAAACTAAAGACTGAGAAAAAGATGTTAGATTGAAGAAGTGTCTCACCATTGAAGGGATGGTTTATGGAACGAGACAGGTGCAGACAGGACGAGACAGGCCAGAAGCTGGACGTAAAGAAATGTGATGGGATCGTGAGGCGGTTCACAAAGACAGAAGACAGAAGGGGGAAGATAAGAGATGGGTATCCATGCACACCTGAGACCTGTGCCGAGGCAGTTATAGATGTAGGAGACCTCGGCCTGATGGGGTCTAGTGGGCAAAGTCCAGGTTGGCTGTCTAGCACACAGGCGATGCCGGTGATCCGCTCCCTGCCCCTGGGCAGTGTGCTCTCAGGAGACCTTAGGTGCTGGCCCTCTGACACCGCCCTCAGTTTTAGACTAGTGACCCCTGGCTCATCCTGGCAATCTGTCCTTGAGACTGGATAATCCACTGGGCTCTCCTTAGCAAGCCCTGTTGGGACCTCTCTACCAGGAACCAGAGACCCAGCAGTTTGGTTCTCCCTCTTGGAGGTGCGGACCTCAGGAAAAGAGGGTTTCTTTTTAGAGGCCCCAGCAGGTGACTGAGGAGACTGTGGCTCAAGCAGGGTTTTCGTTTTGGTAGTGGGTGAGAAGGAGGCCAGTGTGGGTCTATCAGGCAACGGCTTGGGAATGTCAAGAATCAGATGTGCTCGGTTTGATGATGCCAACTTGCTGTGGAAAGACTTGGGAGATGAGCAGTTTACAACTGGCTGGAGTGCAGGTTTCACTGGAACATTTTCTTTCACTGGCAGCTTAATCTTCTCAGCATCTTGTGTGGAATTAAATTGTGTCTTCTCTGTCACCGGAGGACTAGTCCTCCCATCAGTCAACATTTCAGTGGAGCAACCAAGGTACAGATTTTCCCCTACAGATATGCTCCTTGACATCTTAGCCCGGAAGCTGGTTGTGGGATTCATGTAGGACTTTGGTTTTGCAGCCCTGACATCTTTGGCCAGCAGAGCACCAGATCCATCCATCTTCAACATACTGGCTGATAACACCCTGCAATTGTTAGGTCTGGGGTCCTTCTCAACCACCAAAAGAGTCTGAGGACGCTGCTTGGCAGAGGATATCACTCCTGGACCCTTATCTGTAAAAATTAAACAGACAAACATACCAAAAATAGACAAGAGCCTGCAGTGAATTCCTAAATCAGAATTTAATGTGGCTCAGCTCAGCCCCTGTGAGATGTGCACAAACATAACCACTAGTTCAGGTTAGTATCACCAAGCCTCAACAGCTTCTTTTTTTCCCATCCCTCATCCTACTCAGACAATACTGCTTTCCACATGAGAGAGATTTGCTCTTAAAGTGTATGGCCAGAAGACCTCAGACCACTGTGACTCTTAAGAGGGAGGCCAGAGGAAGCAGGCAAAAACTTATATATGCTGTTGTGGATTTTTTTTTATTTTTTAAACAAACTTATTAACAGTTAGTGAGTTGATTGTTTCAAAAATAGAGTCATTTCACATGGAGGGCATGGATACAGTAAGCTCTCTGTTTCTCTCTCTTCCCTCTTTTTCTCCTCCCCACCGTGGGGAGCTTCAGTCTTAGCTTGGAGCAACCACCACAGCAAGAGAGAATATTTTTGCAAATACTTCCTTTCACCCTTGCAGTGCTCCTCCCACAGATGCCAAACAAATATCAGAGAACGATAATTAGAAAACCAGCATCTGCATTACAAATAAAAAATATTAAATAATATTTTAATAAATAATATTGAAAATATTTTTTCCCTTGACAGGGTAGGAGTGAGAAGACATGTAAAGCCTGTAGCTCAAATGCAGAAAGACAAGCTTAATTTAAATCCTCCACTCAGATGTCCTCATTTCATTCTCATACCATCATTCCAATGTGTGTTCTTACCCTCATGCACGAGGTCATGCACTGACTGTGCCTTTCTCATGACTGCATTCACAGGGCCTTCTGGAAAGGAGGCAGTAACCCGTCCAGGAGCCATACCAACTCTGCTGGTCTCCAAAGCTGATCTGCGTTTTTTCTGCACATAAATAGCTCGATTTGAATTTACATTCTCTAGGAGCTGGCTGTTCTCTGATGCATCACCAGGATGGCTGCTGTCATTTTTCAACAGGTTTGGTGTAAACTGACTGGTCTGGGTTGGTGGCTCAATGGGCTTTGAATCCAGTGTCAGATTTGATGAAGAGAGTGACAATCGTCTAAAGAACACAATAAAGAAATCCCAATTAAAAACAAGTATGTTCCCCTGGATAGACAGGAATATGCATTAAGTTTCTCTGGAATAAAGAGCCCTGCACTGTCTGGACTTTTTTGAGTCAAAAATGCCCTAAGCTGTTACCACTTAATTCTACTCAACCCTGCAAGTTCTGGTCTTCAGGCATTTGACTAGAGGCTGTGCAATCACAAATAGCATTGGATTGCTGTTTCCAGGGAGGACACCGTAAAAAGTGAAGACAAAAGAGAAGGAAAAATTCCAGGCATAGGAAAGACTGGGCAAAGTCAGGTCAGGTCTCTTCTCTCAGCTCACCTCACTAAAATTTAAATCTTTTAAATTCTAAGAAAACCCTAAGAGGAAGTCAAGATGCTTTCCTAATATTATGAAAGCATAATGACTAGGAAAGCGGGTCAGTATCTTCAAGAGGAAAGCCTAATTTCCTCTTCCTCTCCACTTCAGACAAACACAGTGGGCTTACTTCAAAAAGGAGGCAACTTCCAACCTGGCACGTTTAAACAGCTGAACAGATTAAAAGCCCAGAGGTTTTCATAATCAAAAACTACCTCCCTTGTTACATCTCTAGAGCACCAGTGACTTCCTTCACTCATCACTGCAACTCTCCAGAAGCTTACACAATAGCTAACCATTGGCTTTCTTCCCAAACATACATGAGACAGACTAAGAGGCGCTCCTGACAGCAGCAACAGCAGCTGAATACAGCAATAACAAACAAATTTCCCTACCATGCTGAATCTGGATACAGCTGGTGAACATTAGAAGATGTATTCAAATCTTCTTAGTCCTATATAATGAAATTCTTTTGAGCTAAGATTTTAGGTTGTCATTTCAGAGGAATACAGGAGTATTTGTTTATTTTAAACATTTATGAACCCAAATCAACAAAAGCATTGACCTAATTCTTAAAAATTTTTCTTATTTATTTGCTTTGTTGGGATTTTTTTTTTTTTTAATAACAAGGAAAACAGCTTGCAGCAGCTTTTTGGAGTGCTTTAAGGTTGAGAGGGTTTTGGAAGAATAATATCCCCGTGGGGCTTTGTGTGAGACACCAGAACACCCTGTAAAGGCATGGTACTGAGAAACAAAGCTGAGTAAGAAAGGACTGTAAAACAAAGGAAAAGTTGACAAATCTACTTTCATTGTCCAAGCTGAATGAAATGCAAAAGAATAAAAAGAGCATAAACAGTGAAGAGTAAATTAGATTATTAGTGATTCATCCAACTTAATCAACCAAGGCATTAATCATGAAACTATTAAGCATGTCATTGAAAGAGGAAATAGAACAAACAATAGTGTTGCATTAGAATAAATAGAACAGCTAAAGTGATGCAGTATAACCTGTCCAAATCACAAGAGTCTGCAAACAGCCTGCCATGTGCTGTGCTAACACTTTACTGTGCCTAGGCACACCAAAGCCAGAAGTTTGTTCAACTATTTTCACCCAGGACCTAGCACGAGACCTACTCATATTAGTATAAACAGACAGACAGAAACACTCCAAACAAGCAGAGCCATACCTGAGAGCCGGGGACTGGGAAAAAAAGCGAGAGGAAATGCTGAGGTTGTCGGTTCTTTCCAGATTCCTACATGAGCCACCTAAAAATTTTGGTTTAAGGAGAAAGACAAATGAGCAGTTTATTTACAGAGCATTCTCATATATACATTTTCTTATCATTGAGACTATCCAAGGGGATTTTTTTAAGCTAAAGCCACAAAGAATTAAATAATTATATTTCCTTTGCTATTAGTGTTCTACTTAGATTACTATGCCTTAAGCTGCTACTCTCCCTAAGGGTACGCCTCCTTTTTTGCTTCCCTTTGTGTCCTATCCTGCCTGTAGGACTGTGAGGCACTGGCATGAAGCAGAAAACAAACCCATCAAAGAAGAAAAAAAATAAAAGGAAAAAAAGAACACGAAAAACTCACATAGATATTGCTGCCTGCAACCTTATAAATTCTAAAAAGATGTGCTTTGTTCTGGAGTTGGTCGATAAAGACAAACCAGCTCCTTTGCCACTCTGATGTTTCCTCTTATTCTCTCTCTCCACCCAGCATTTCAGCCTTTTCTTTTGTGACATTGGCTATGCCTTGATGCACCACTAGAGGCCACTGAGTGTCACCGATGGGGGGGTGAGCGCGCAGTCAATACCTTCCTTTACAACAGGAAAAACCAGTCCGGGAGCAAGGTAACAACAGCTCGTTAGGATTCCAGGGACAATACTTAACACAAACTGACACAGAGCCAAATCCACACAAATTTACACATAGACCGATGAATGAACAGATGTCGATCTTCTTAAAGCCTCTTACACTGTTTTACATTTTCTCCCCTCTCCCCATATCCATGCATCCAGGAAAGCCTAACAGAACTTGTAGCCTGCTTTGGTGGAAAAACCAGGAGTGACCTTACAAAGCTACAGAGATGTACCTTTTCCATCAGTATTGCTCAGGGTCCCAAAATGCTCCTTGAGGAACTTTTCCTGATCAGGTATCGGAGGAATTTCTCTCTCAGGCATGCTAGTACCCACATCCTCCTCTCCTTCTTCTCCCTCCAGGTCCGAGACACCATCTACACTTAGAGGTTCGGTGCCCTCAGAATCTGGGAAAAGGCAAAAAACCCCCACTGCCATAAAAACTTAATCAGACTAATATTAGCCAAGTTAAAAAAAAAAAATATAAAAATCAACAAATATGCTAAATTAAACCGAGAATGTTCAAGTTAGTCAGCATTACGTGCAGTAATTCCCTAATCTACCATATCTGACAAACAGCACAGCCTATGGCATAATCAATACTAAACCTGCCTCCTTGGCTAGCAAGGTAAGAGAAAGCCAAAGGTGCACAAGGAAAGAAGGAAAGTGCACAAACTCCTGTTTCTACAGTGGCTTTGCTGAGACGTCTGTTCAAATGCTCCTGGATCTGTACAGCAGCATCGGTGTGACTAACAGGAGTGTGACCTCAGCTCAGCTCACTGAGAGCTCACACATAAATACATTTACAATGTCTTTGGATCTTACCTTCATTCGGATGGTCTGGGCTGGACAGACGACTGCTGCTGTAATCTACAGAGCAGGCACTGTCTGGACTGTGTTTGTCTGGGCATCCATTACTGTGATAACCTCTACAGAGCTTCCCATGGGGCAATGCTTTTACCTGGAACTCACTACAAGAGAGACAGGAAGATACAGCACTAGAAGAGATATTTGTTTACATGTAAAGAAGTACATTTTAACTTTAATAAGGCCTTACCTGTGTTAGTAATACCTTTTATTACAAATGTAAGGCTTTAAAGAGAAAAAGAAGTTGATTTCTCTCATCATAATACAGTATATTTTTTGCATTTCATTAAGCTTGGACATGGAAGTCCCAAGGGGACTGTGATTTTCTGGGCATTGTCAGCTCCCAAGATTACCAAGCACCAGCAGCACACTGCTCTGGCTTGATTTCCAGCACAAAATGTAGACGTTTACATGATGAAAAAGAGACTAAAACCAGGCCTATACGTGCAGGAGAGAAACTAGTTTGCCATTTTATCGATATTCATGACCTGCTTCTTCGGGCAAGTTCTGTGATACAAAATATACAAGATTCTGGCTTTGAGAAAGACTAATGTGCTGAAGAATATCATACAAAAATACAATCTTGTATGACAGGGTTAGTGATTACTGATGAGATTTCACGGATCTTATTTTGTCAAATGTCACCAGCACTGTTCTTTTTCCTGATGCCTAAGGACTTCAGTTTTCCACTTTTTTAAATACTTTGTTTTCAAATGTACTCCAAGGCAAGGTAGGATGCAGAAGTCAATCAACAGAACTAAATGGCAACTACCCCTGGCAGCTCCCACACTGTAAAAATTGCCATGTGTCCAGTCTGTATCCAACATCACCAGAGGGCCTCCCTTTTTTACTTGATGAAGCAGCACATGAGTTTACTCCGTCCAAATGTTATCATTACAAAATTAAAAATTAAAAATAAACTAGGTGAAACCTAGCAGCCTCAACTGTAAAATCTTGGCATGCACTCTTGCATAAAATCTGTCTAAAGCTATCAGCCCCACTCTCTGTAATATGACAGAAGATGCATGAAATTTAACAGCTAGTAGCATCAGGTTAAGAGGGGAAGGGAAGAACAAAATTCAGGGAAGGAAAATAAAAGGGAGCACAGAAAAATTAAATTATGTAAAATTAAAACAGAAGAAACAGCAGAGGAATAAAAAAGGTCTCCACTGTCTCCAGTGTCCTTTTCAATTCCATCTGTATCATGCAAGTTACTCTATTTCCAATAAAAGAGTAATCACACACTACATTTGCTAAATTCTTGCCCAATTTTCATAAATAAGTGTCCTGTCATTTCTCCTGGGTAGGCATTCCACTGCCACATATGTGTCACTGTCAGTGAGTTTTCCAGCTTCCAAGTTTTCCCTTGCTATTTTCAACCCAGATAAGGGAGAAAGCAAAAAGGCTGCTCCCAAGTTGTTCACTCAACTAAAAAACTTGGAGAAGACTGTTTCTCCAGGAAACTGTGCAGTTTCCTCAGAAGAAAACTATTTTAATGGTGCCTTCTTAGTTTCATATTCCTCAAGCAATCATCTGACATAGAACTCTCAACTAAACATGCCTGACATCAATCAAGCAGTAAGTCAAGTCATCGAAGTTACCACACAAGCTACCAGAACAGAAACATCTGAGCCATGCACAGCAGAGAGCTTATTTTTAACCTGCTAGAGTCTGTGGGATGGATTTCATCTTGCTCAGGGTAGATTACACATTCCTCACTCTCAGAAGGTTCTAGTTCCTGAGAGAAAATCCCCTCTTCACAAGACACAAGCCGAATCACTTGGGGTCGCACACAAGATCCATTATCTTGGGAAGGTATTGAGCTGCCAACCTGGTTTAATTAAAAAGAGAAAAAATATTACCAGTGCTTTACCTTACATCAGCAAGTGCTGTGCAAGGCTAGAAAGTATGCATTACAGCACAGAATATGATCAGCAATCTGAGATCAGAAAACATAGCAATACGATGTCTTTTCTGTTCCTTACTATACTTGTCAGACTACTGCTGTACTTTCCTGGTTTGTTTCCTGCTTGAAAGTCCCTAAAGCTCTTTGGTAAAGTACTCTTTGATCACATAGCATGAGTGTAAGCCATGTGGCAGCAGATTCTTCCATTACCTTCTATGGCCAATTCACAAAACTGCGCCAATTCAGCTGAAAAACTGAATTACTGCACACAACAATCTGAATCCTCTTCTCAGTCACACAGTTACAGGAGAGGGAAAACTTCCAATAAAGCTAGGCACTGGGACAGACTGCTACTGAAAAATAGGCACTAGCTTTCTGAGGATGAGCACACATTACTTGCTGTGACCCATCAATACAAAGATCTGAAAGAATTTACTAATCTAGCACAGCCAACAACTAAGGGCTTCATGTGAGCCACATTCCAGCGGCTACTGGAGTCAAGAAACTGCATCCCAGCACAGTGAGCTAAGAGCTTACCAGGTTTTTACAGACCTGTAATTCCAAGCTCAACCTCTCAGCTTGTTTTTGACATAAATATTCAAAGAACTAAAAGATAACATGAGGTCTTCCTGTCATTGAAGAGAAACCTTGACCCCATATGGGGTCTCTGCTATAAAACAGCAGAATTACACATTGCAGGAGTATCAATTACAAAAGAGATATAAATAAAGTTCCTCAGGAGTCATTTAGAAAACCTTTAACGATAAAAAGAATGGCATCAGGTAGTAATAAATGTAGGTAATAACAAATAGGTACAGGACAGATGCACTCAGAGTGGCTTCACCCCCTCAGAGTAGTACTGCCCTTACTTTGTTGATGTGCACAGGAAGGTCAGTGTGCTCTTCTCTGTCATCCCCATTGCTGTTTTGAGACAGTGAATCTCGACTTGGAGAACGGGAAACAGAGAAGGACTCCAGCTGACGCAGGTCAAGCATGGATTTCACAGTCATCTCTATGTTGCTGGTCGGCTGGGACCAGCGACCACGTTGCCGGGGCATCTTGCTCATTGGTGCCTCTGAGCGCTGGATTGCCGCTATCTCTTTGGCCTGAAGGAAATTAAAACACAGACTATCTTAGAGACTGAGTTTTGCTGATGGGAAAACAGGAGAAAAAACACAAGACCCACACAGAAAAATATGTCTATCTCAATAAAAACTTCTAAACTGTCTAAGAGACAGCTTGAAAAGGCACCTTTAATCATAAAGCATCAAGTAAAACTGATACTTTTGTTGCTGCTTCTCGCACAACAGTTAAATGTGCTACAACAGATTGATGTATATGAACAGAGTCAGCACCACATGAGATTCAGATCAAAAATGAAAAAACAAAAGCATAACATCTGATGGAAAAAGACTGATGGAAAAATCCCAAGTGCAGCTCTCAACTCTAAATACCCTAGCCTCCTTAACTAGGCTCTATTTTGCCAACTCCAAATCATTCTTCAGAGAGAGGCTTCTCAACAGTTTCCCACCACAGCTGCACCTTTCCCACATGTGCAAATGAAGTTTTTAATCTCTCTGGGAATTTCTTCTTCACTTTCCCTGTAACAAAAAATAAAAACATTCTGAAGGTTTAGTAACTCACCCTCCTCATTTCCCAGTGGGAAAGGCTTCTTGAGAGGGTAAGGTCTGAATCTGCAAAGATAAAGAGATATGCACCTAGTTGACAACCTGGCCAGCAGTACAGCTTTTGAAGAACCTCTTACTACCTCTTTCAACAAAGGCAATATTCCTACATATTTTGAACCACTGTCAACACATGCTTTCCCAACACGCTTTTCCACTACTAAAATCATTGTACCAAAATTTTAACGGAGACATGCAGTTTTATATAAGATTTTAATTGAATCAGCAGATCTCTGCAGAACACTTGCCACAGTGCAGTGTGCACAGCCCTCCCAAAGGCTTGGGAAAAAAAATCTGCTCCAATACACTGCACCATCTGCAGCAAAAATACATCAAATTAATAACTCCAACCTCAACTGTAAGTTTTATCAGACATCTCTAAGTCCTTTCTTTTGAGAGGATCTTTTGATCTCTTTTGGCTTCTTCAGGCTTTTAATAGCTTGTAGACCCCAGCCCATAAAGTCAATTCAAAATTTCTTTAGCCAGTTGAAACTAGCAAGAAACTTGCCAATTTAAGAACTGCATTTCTAGACAGAGGACTGGACTCTGAAATGCACCCCTCTTCAGATGCAGGAATGGGCAGCTTCACATTACCCATTGCTATCTACCCATCTGCTTCTGTTTTGGTCTGTCTCTCTCCCCATAACTTGTTATCCCAAATTGTGTGTCTCTCATCTTCTCCTCCCTTCACATCCATGCCATTTTCCTCCAACTCTGCCCATGTCCCTCTCCCCTTTATACCTGAGTCTCTGTCAGTGTTGCAGTTGGATTGAATATGGAAAGACTGCAGCCCTCGTAACTCATCTTCATCATTCCCTTCATCTTCACCATCCTTATCACTGTCTGATGAGAGTGCAGGCACAGAGGACAGGGCAGAGATGGACTCATGCCTGGAAGGCAAGAATTAAAAGTATTATGGTTTATGCATGAACTACCTACCTTAGACCAATCCTTACACCAGTTCTCCACCTTACCTCCATCCATATTCAGAAGGCTGCCTCAACTCTCTCAAACAGCCCTTGCTCTAGCACAGCCCACCTCTGAGAGACAGAGCAAGCCACACCCTGCACAAAGATGTGCAGACCCTGCCACAACAATGTTCTCATATGCATGGAAGGTTGACGGAAATCAGAAGCTAACAAGTCTGAGAAAGTCAAACAGAATGAAACTGGGCCTTCCATTTCATACTCTGCCAATTGATAAGGTCAAGATGGTAGATTATATTTGAAAGGCAAATATTTTTCCCTTAAGCATTTCTTCTCTGGAACTGATTTACACATCATAAATGTCAGAGATAGTCTCTGTTTGAAAGTAATTTGGTTTATGGCAAATTGTCCCATAAGAGACAGGTTCATTTCAAGGATTGCTTCAGGCAGAACCTGAAGGCACAGCCCACATATCATAACTGCACCATGCTGACTATTTAAACTTTCAAGCACAAGGATCATGTAAAACATATCTTGCACAAATCTTAAATTAAAGTAGATCAAGACAAGTTTTACCACACACACCTCAGAGGCACTCCCAGCATAGAATTACCCACCACCAATCAAGGACACTTAATAACATCAAATTTTACCCTCCCTCTTTCTTCTCCTCTTCCCTTTCCTCCATTCATTCCTTCAGTCCACAGAATCAAATTAACAAATAAACCTTCGGACAATAATTGAAGAAAGAAGAATCCCCAGCAAATATATCTGAGTAGCCCCCACTCCATGGCCTTGAGCTAGAGTGCCAAACTCATCATAAGTGACATTCATAGGATATCACTGGTGAGTGTTGAGTGCCAAGCATTATTCAGGAAATAAAAATAGCTCATCCACCAAATACAGAGCAGTCTGGCAAGGGACCAACTTCTCCTGCAGCTGACAGATAGCAGGCAGTATTGAAACATGGAAGAAGTAGTTAAGGTATTTTAATCTTTTCTCTTCCTGTGTAGTGGCAGAATATTAATTTCCATTTCATTAGGAGTGATAACTACTCAACCATTTCAGGTGAGCTTTGAAGTGTTCTGACAAAAAGAAAAATGAAACTGACTGTAGCCTGCAGAGTTTTAGGTGAAAAAGTTTCATTTTGGTCATCCACATCTACTTTTGACATTTGAGTTTGTCAGTCTCTTCATATTTTCTACTGTCTCCTCATATGCTCATCTTGTCACTCTCAGGTTTTGTGTCTAAGCAGGGGAATCCTAACAAAGCCCAAGCACCACAGAATGTTTGAGGTTATGCCATGTGTCATCCTATGACATACATTAATTACATTTATTCATGGTAGGCAATATCAACTTTGTATCAGTAACTTTGACAGCATACTTCTGCTTCTGTTCATCATGGTTGTTTCAGGAGTTTATTGAGACAGAAGGGTTGGATTACTAGACCTTTAAACATCTACCTGGTTGAACACCTGACAGTGATGAGGTGATATGGCAAGGCAAGATTATGTGTTTGCCAAGCTCCTATGTGTACTGTCATTGGTGTAAATGGAGAAGGAAGGATTGCTATCCATGTGTTTCATATTACAAATAGAAAGATGGCCCCTGTCCATCAGATAGTGACCAAAAAAACTAGTGAGGGGGGGAAAAAAGTGTGTGCCAATATCCTTAAAGCAGCAGAGTAAGAGAATGCAAAACATATTTTGGAAGACAGATGTGTTTTTTCATACTTCACAGGAAGTGATAAACAAGTTATGAAGTAACATATTTGATGCAAACAGAAGGTATCTTGCATTATCCCAGCAAAAATTCATGCCCCTCTTCCACATCCTTCTTACAACTCAAGTATGCTTTTCAAACTCAGTTCTGTAACTTGAAAGGAGATAGACGAATGAATGATATTTTCAAAATTATCCTAGGCCCACTGACTTGAAACTGAGATATTCTGAAATAAAAACTAGGTTCACAAGGTCGTGAGTGTTCTAACTGTTGTTCTTGCCCAAGTCAACCCTTCTATTCAGACTTCACTGTTTCTCCTTTCCTTCCCTGCCTTCCTCAATGTACTTTGGATTTTCTCCTAAGCCCCCTGTTGCACACATCTCCTGAATACTCTTCCTCAGTTTGGGTTTTTTTTTCATGCTTAGATGGGAGTCAGTTTAATGTACAGTTTTCAAGCACAAAAGCTGTTTCCAAATAAGCACAACATGAGAGCATTTTGAAAATTAAGGGGTAAGACTTCTGGGGTTTGCCAAAATCCTCCTGTGAGCCAAACCCCAAAGCATCATTATACCAGGATGAATGTTTCAGAGTAGCTACTCCAGAATAGCATGTACAGACACAGTCTCGATCCAGGTGACTCAGAGCAAGTGTTTTAATTGTAATTGTTCATCTTCTTTGCTGAGGAACTATCCCGCTCTAGTATCATAGAATCACAGAATCATTAATGTTGGAAAAAAAACTCCAAGATCATCAAGTCCAACATCTGACTGAATATCACCATGCCCACTAAACCATATCATGGAGTGTCATGTCTACTCACTTTTTAACACTTCCAGGGGTGATGACTCAACAATTTTCGTCTGGGACTCTGTTCCAATGCTTAACCACTCTTTCAGTGAAGAAACTTTGCCTAGTGTCCAACATGAACCTTCCTTGGCACAACTTGAGGTCATTTTCCCTTGTTCTATTACTAGTTGCCTGGGAGAAGAGGCAAACTCCCAGCTCACTACAACCTGCATCTTATTCTATAAAGGGCAGCAGCGTCAGCTGCTCTTCAGCTCCCAGTTTTTGAAGGGTCAGACAGTGCAGGGTGAATGGAAAGGAAGGACCTTAAATTAGAAAGTCTTCAGGACACAATATAGACTTCAAAGTGCCACATGTCATTATGGAGTTCTATTCAGACATCTGATAATAGATACTCTGTATTCTTCTGTATGACCTGAACCCAACCCTGTTTTGCTTTCTCAAAACAAAACAAAGCAGACAAGAATGGCAACTATCCATTTAAAGAGGTATGTCAGAACATTCCCACTCTGATCTTGTGCTACTTAAACCCTCAGCTTTAGGGACATATTTATGAAACTGTGTGGTAGTTATAACTGGCAGATTATATCCTCCTGCTTCCCCCTCAAATGTTGAAGTGTTTTAAAAGCAAAGTTATTCTGCTTTTCCCCACAAAAGGATCGCAGCGCACTGACTCCAGAATTTCCCTAGTATTACAATTGAAGTAGTTCATCACAGACTGAGGCAACATTTCTGATAAGGTATCAAAAACCTGCCCTATTCTAAGCCCTAAAAAACAACACAGCTTTCCTGGACTGGACAAGACCCACTGAGAATTTGATAAGGAGTTCTTCTTCCCAAATATATCTGACAGCACACAGTACTTCTTCAGTATACATATATAACTTTTAGACAATTTAATTTGGATAAATCTTTTTTCTCCTGCTATTTATACTAAAGAGTCAAGGAAAACCACAGATAGAGTCATTTTTAAAACATGACTATAAGCCCTGCAAACATTCCGCAGTAAAAACAGCTTAAAACTTGAGACAAGCTTTTCTAAACTATAAATGCACACTTGGATAAAAACCAAAACCCTACTAAATGGCCTTTACATGACTCCTTCACTGAAAATATAAAAGCCTTAAACCAGAATGTACCAGCAATCTCAGCTGAGTACAAGTTCTATTATCCTGAACTATCAAAGCTCTTCATGTTCAGAAAAAAGCACACATCTGCAATTACCACAAGCAGAGGCAGAACTCAAAGGCTCTCAGGCACACTATGGAGTTCTGTGGGTCATAAAGGTCAGAGCAGTTCCAAGGTAATACAATAGCCCACAAAGGTGAGTCAGAGAAATCATTCAGAAGAGAAACTTTAGTCTCTAAAAAATTTTGGATGGACTGAAAACACTGGGACCCTTCAGTTCAGAGAACAGGTTGGATGAAGAGAGGTTATGAAAAAGGTTTACAAAACCATCACCAGAGCTCACAATATTAAGAAGCGGAGGACTTTCAACAAAACTAGTAGGAATGTGCTTTAACAGAGACAAAAAAACAGTTCTTCTTTCCACAGAGAGCAGTGAAATCCAGGAACTTATCACCAAAGGAGGCTGCAGAGACAGACAATATTATGAAGTTCAAAAAGAATTTATACAAACTCAGTGGACAATTGGTCCATGTCCAGATGGTAAAGAAAAAAGGTAGAGATGGACCTCCTAACATCCCTTATGTAACAATGGAGCATGAGGCAAATGGATCACAAAAATTCATGTAGCAAGGCTCATGGAGTGTCTCACTAAATAGCATCTTCCATTGCCACAGTCACAGGCAAAATACTGGGCTTTGTGGAGCACTGATTTGACCCAAAAAGGCATCTCCTTGTGTTTACACTGCTGATGTTACCCACCTGAGTCAATTCCTGCCCTGACAGTTGCAACTGGATAGACAGCACTGTCCTGAACTGGAAATCTTCACCTCCCACTGCTTCCTCAGATCAATTTTGTTACCTCAGCATTATTTTCATTATTCATCCTGTAATACACTTATACAATGGAACTAGCAGAAAGTGTTACTTCCTCCACCAAATTCTAGCAATACTGTTCTAAAGAAGATCTAGTAGAACAAATTACTTTTCACAAGGCAGGAAGCCTTCTCATACTATTGTCAATCTTTTAAGCCAACAATTTTACACCACAAGCTGCAACTCAGCTCTCTACTGCAACCTATACAGATAGGCTTTGGAAAGAATCAGGGCACCTAGAAAACAAATATCACTCAAGTTCATTATTTTTCCTTCTCCCACCTCAATAATGCTGGTCCAATAGGCTCTTCTTCCATTGTCAGTACCAATCCAAAATGCTCTGGGAATTTATGTCTTTGCTGATCTCCAGTGACCACAGCGTATGATCAAAACTGAAGACAAGCTGACAAGTAGATTCCAGGCTTGCAAAGAGGCTACCAAACAAGTTTATTAAAGTTCTGGGCTTGGCGTGGCACTAGCACCGCCCTTCAGCAAGCGTCTGTGATGGAAACAAGTATCACCTCACGTGGAACAGGACTGGGATTATCTGTCACAGGCTGAGCCTTGGTAGGGTAAGGCTGCAGCTGCTGGAATAATAGAGAGACTGCTATAAAAAGCATATTGCTTGATAGATCCAGAACTTTGGCTAGAAAAAAGGCTTCCTGAGTCTTCCCAGCATCGTTACCAAAAGCACTTACTAGACAAGACTTGTTTCAGGAATGAGCAGATCAAGACTTTCCAAAACAGAACTATGCAGACAGACTTGTTACAACATTGTTTGCTCCCAAAGGGAGTGGGAAAGTCCTCCTGATACTCAACAACCGGAGTAGTAAATCCTCCAGTCCTTTGGTACTTTTATATCCAGAGCTCCATTTGTAGTCACTTGGGACATAGGAACAAAAAAAATCTGCATTTATCCTTTTTATACCCACTGTGTTGTCTTAACAGCCTGGAGAGCAGGACTCTCCCCTGCATTACTTACAGTCCAACTAGTCTCAGCTACTTAAAAACTACAGAGAAACCAAACACATTAGACTAATAATCAAAAATACTCTGTCACTCCTGTTCTGTTTAAAAACAGAAGCACCACTTTTTAAAGAAAGGTCACCAGATAAATTTAGATCTATTCAGCTTGTAGGCTGCAGTAGTTTGTTTTAGATATGTTGTTTACTAAGCAAAAATAATAATATTATTTAGCTAGCAAGAGCTTTTCCCACTTAAATTATTTTTGTGTTTATTATTCATATTATAATTATTTTATCTGAGATTTTTTTCAAAGCCTCCAGAAAAAAGTTAACAAAGAAAGAGCAAAACTGTAAGGACTCTTTTAGAATTATGATCAACATAGCCAACTCACAGAGCTCATAGTTGTACTTCAGTACTGACACCACAGAAACAGTCTTTAAGTTGCATTCAGCTTATATCTAGAGAGCTTTACTCATAAGGATCACAGCTTCCCCGGTGGAACTCTGTGTACCATTCTCAGTATTCCTAAGTGAACTGCTTATTAAGGTTTCTCATTAAACTAAATTAAGACACAAGAGGCATTGCATACATATTGCAATCAGTGAAGCACACTAAGTCTGTCTGGAAGATCTCAATCTGGTTTCTATATCCAAAGAAGGGGGGTACAACCAAATTCAACAGAGGAATAAGAACTTTTGGAAGACACTACCAGTGAAGACAGCAAAAACCTTACATTTGAATCCCAGTGCCACACTTTCACATTTCACCCTACACAGTCAGACCCCTGTTCTTAGTCTGCTCTGCTCACCTCATGAGTCCAGCTGCCTTGTGAGGAGGAGACTTCTCCACCTGCTTCCCTCTCTGTTTCATGTCCGACAGCCGCTGCCGCATGTTGATGGTCATCTCTGAGCTCAGACGCCAGATGAAGATGCAGCTGAAAAAGAAAAGTGAGGCTGGGATCAAGTCTCAGTTCAGTTCATTGATACTAATTCCCACTGGAGAGACAAAGAAGAGCCCTTCTTCTGTCTGTGGCAGACACACACACAGAAACAGCTTCACAGAAGCTCAATCCCGTCACCAAGTCTCGTGATGAAGGAGTTAAACCTGCCTGCCAAAGACTCCCCGTGAGCAAGAGCAACTGCGGAGATATTTACACAGATTCATCTCTGATCCTATACCTTTTTTGACTATCTGACCAGCTGCTGAAGGAAATGCTGTAACAAGTCCCTCTGTGGTCAGCAGGATAAGTGGAGCCTACAGATGTCTCTTGCATCCTCTAAGAGTGGCTACGCTGAAGTCTCTGATTGCCACTACCCCCAAAGGCAAGGCCTTCCTAATGCCCACCACCATATGGAGTCTCTGTGCTGTAATAACATTTAAGCTCATGTAGAAGTACTTTTTGCAGTCAGGGTGCCCCTAATATTTTACTTGGGACTCCCTACAGAATTTACTTACACAGAATTTACACAGCCATTAGCTCAGTGTAATAACACCAAGCACCGAGCATAGTGCTAATAACACCAAGGCCATAGATTCAATTCCTGTATGGGCCATTCACTTCAGAGCTGGATTTGATGACCCTTGTGGGCACCTTCCAATTCAGAATGTTCTGTGAAATAGTCTGTGAAATTTAACTGAATTTGGTCAATGGATTCAAAGGCATTCGAGAGAAGGAAACCAACAGTGTGGTCTTGTTTCATTAATTTCTTCAGAAATTCAGCTTAAAGAACATATTACTCATCACATTAAAGAATACTGTATCTCATCTTCAGCTACTAGAAAGTAAAATGACCAGCACTGTCTTTGAAATTTAACCTCAGTGCTAACTAATTCTTTTCATCTCAGTCATCTTTCCTGTCTAGCTGGGTATACTCACACTGATACACAAACAGAAATGGTGCTTTGGCTATCACTTACAAAATCTTGCACCCTAGTTTGGAATCCAAAGAGGATTTAATTCAGTTCTTCAACACCCATCACTGCCAGTATACTCCAATGGGTACTCCAATACACAGATGATTTTTCAGTGACTGACATTTCCCTCTTTCTTGATAGCATGTAAATATTAATTTGCTTTGCCATCTTGAACAATGACCATGAACTTTGTTCTCCCTGACCTGAGGCAAATGTCAAAAGTGCCAGGATCCTAAATACCTCATTTTTTCTCTCTTTCATGAGGAAATGATTTAAAATGTTTTCATTTCCATATCACACCAAAAAAAAAACCCATAAAACCCTCTTTGTGGTCAATGGAGATTTTAAGGTAAAACTAAAAATTCCCTTCTTGTTCCCAGTGCCATGCTCAGAAGCATCACTCCCAGCTACTAAAATCACATACAAACACTTCCCATTGCCTGTGAACACACTCTCATCCTCCCACTTGAGCTTTTCAACTGGGTGAAGGGGGTGAGGCACTGTGTCTGGGAACTATGGCAACCCAGGGCAGCCAGCTGTTTCCCCTCAAGGAGCAGCTCTCTCCAAGTAACAGCAACCATAATCTGCTGCTAAAAAACACACTGAAATGGAGGAAACAAAATTCTGAAAGCAAATCTGGCTTGTTCATTTATTCCACCCCCACAGTTATCAAACCTAGAGACAAGCAGCAAACAACCTAAGCCTGTGAACCAAACAGCATCCAACACAAACTCTGCAGAAGCGCCCTCCTACCCCTTTTGCTGGGACTGGGGAGGGGATTTGTTTTTGGTTTTTTCTTACCTTGCATTACTTTCCTCACATGAATCTCACAGTCTTTGTGCCCTTTCTCATCCCTGTTTTTCTTTCTATTTTCAGCTCTATTCTTGGCATGTGCTGCTGTGTGTGAACTGACTATGTTCCCTTGTTCTCCTTTGAAAAAGATGCTTTTTCATCTCCTTACAGCAATCTTCTTCAGGAATCCTTTCCTCACTTTTCACCCACCTCCTGCATACCCTTAGTGAAGAAAATTATCCTTCTGCTCATGTAGATGTCAACAAAAGAATGTTGCACTAAATCACAAGGATCACTGGGAACTTCAAACCTTCCATTTGTCAGAATTTCACGAATAATTTTGTCAGAAGATCACAACAAAAGGAATCTCTCTCCTGCAACTTTTGTCCCTAATCTACTTAAACATATGAAAGATAAAGAGGAAAACTAAACTATTTATTTATTACTGAAAGACAGAAACAACCAACTGATGAGATTTAAGGTGATACACTGTATGTTCTGTAACAACTCACCCTCTAAAACCCTCCTTCCAATTCAATTGTGTTTTATTAATTAATTTTTTTTTAAAAAAAAGAGATAATCTGAATTGCTCTGAACTTGCAATAGCACTCCAGGAGCCATCTTTCTTAAAGGAAAAATTTTATTCAGTTCAGCTGATTTAAGCATTTACTGATTACAGAAATAGTGGCTCCACTCACCTGTACAATCATCACACTAGGCATACATTCTCCTTTTTCCCTTGAGCTAAGTCTGGTGACTACTTAAGCTTTTAGTGAACAGATTTAGCTCACTAAATGTGCAGAAAACTCATTTCAGGGGAGTACTGATGTAGTGACTTGAATCAGCTGAATTTAGCGACCTGAGGGGTCAGCTGCACCACTGCTGTCTCAGGGGAGACAGAAGAAGACCATATGGATAAGACCAAAAGCTGAGGACAGGCCTGTCCCTTTTGCTGTTAAACAGACTCCTTCACCTGGTGAAACCTCACCAACAGCATGAAAAAGTTCTGGCACTACTAGCAAAAATAGCACAAGATACCTTATATTCCAGCCCTGAAGGCTGGTCAGGAAAGAGGTCACATCTCTGCCTCCTTTCCAGCACAGAACAGTATTTACTCTAAAGAAAAGGGAAATACCTCACATGGGTCTCATTCTATGGAATGCTAATATAAGCTCTGTGAACTTCACCAACAGCATGCATTTAGGATTCAGAAAGCTCTGAGATTTATTTGGAATTCATAAAACACCCCTTAAAAAAAAAAAAAATCTACCTTTCCTAAGGACATGTTACATCCAGTATGAGATGACATGAGTCAGAATCACAAACAAGTAAAGCCTCTTACCTGTCACCAGAAACAGAGATCAGATGTTTGCAGTCATTACTGAATTTCATCCCAGTCACAATCTCTGCAAGAAATAAAGCAAAACAAACCAAATCTTCCCTGAAATATTAAAATGGACAGAAGAGATCACTAGCCAAATAGCCTGTCTGCACTCAGTAATTCACACTTCACAGATCAATATGCCCCAATTACCATAACCATTTAAGCAAGAATCTAGGCTTGACATGGAAAGGGCAATATACATGAACATGGGATTCTTTTTTTGCCTATAATAGAATAGCTCCTGCATGGTAGAAGCTGAGGGTATACCATAATGAAATTTAATATAGACTGAAAAGCACAGACTCCTTTATAGACTATTAGAAAAACTGTAAATAAATACATGGCAGGACAGGTGGTTACATGTGTGTGTGTCTGTGTGTGTGCTCGTGTGCAAAATGCAAAAATTAAACTTGCAATAAAAATAAGCTACTGCAACTTCATCCAACTACAATTTATTAAAAAATACCAATTAGGTCAACTTCGGTGGGAAGGAATCTTCAGAAAATTTTGACTAGTATCAGACCCTACTCTATAGTCATCAGCAGAAAAAAATGAATTTCCAGAAGTTGATAAGCCTTACCTGAGTGTCCATACATGGTTGCAACACACTCGCCAGAACAGAAATCAAAAATGGAGAGGTTCTTGTCAGAACAACTGGTTGCAATGTAAAGACCAGAAGGATCTGTTTGCACCTGGTTTAGGAGACCAGAGGAATGCAAAGACTTGGTAAGAAATTACCTTCAAACTACACAAAAATAGTTCAGATTACCCAAGACAGTCAGTATAAAATGCAAGCAGTCTGCACAGGAGTCCAACTGAGTACCAACCCATCCAGTATCCCAGGACAAATCTCCAACCTGACTAGACTTTTAAGACTATCTCCAACCTAATCAGACACTGAAGGCAGTTAAATTAAATGCCTTCATGACTGGGAAGGCATTTCCACCAATGGACAGATTTCTACCTCTCTCCTACTTCCTTTTAACCATTGGGGTCTTACTTTCTTCTATGTTAAGATCAAAATAAAACAATAAGAAACCCCCACCCCAAAACACACACACCCCATAAAAAAAGGAAAAAAAAAAAATCAGAGCTGTCAGACTTAAGTGAAATATTAAAGGATTCAGGTCTTCAGGAGTGAAAGCAAAAAAGAACTCAACTCTGCCAAGAAACTGTCTTTGATAATGATGCTGTCACATCTCCAGCATTTGCAACTCCCATTTTACAGCTATTTTGTTAGTTGTTTGTTTTTTCATATGCACCTATTTGTTGTTTTATCTTGGATGAAATATAAAATTCCCTGCAAATGCTTCACCAAGGTCTAAAGCAGCACTACACAGCAAATACAGTAACTGTCACCAAATGTCCTGCTGTGTCCTTTAAAGAATTTTAAGGAACTGAGAAAGTAACCTGTGTTTTTCAAGGGAGACATGGTATTTAAATAATGGCAATTCTTTTGGTTTGTTATATTTATTTTGTTGATGTTTGCTTCCAGTGTCACTGTTTGGGTTCTACTCATTTAACTGCAATGTGTATGATCTCAGAATAACATGCCAAGAAAGTTTAAATTCCAGAGACAACCATAATCCCTTGGTTACATAATTGTCTTAAAAATGAGCAAAGCAACAGTAAAAGTAATTGAGATTTCCCATTTGAGATACACATAAAAAAAAAGGATATTAAGAACAAAAAATCCATCGTTCAGAACATTTCGTGGTTTTATGTCTGAGAAAAATCTAACCAAGCACCTAAGCTTATCAGTAATTTAAAGTGTAGCATCAATTTTTCATCTTCATTACTCTGGCTTATAAAAAATTTGTAGGAATTGTAATTGGCAAAGAGAAAGAACTTATCTTTCTCTGTAAAACAGAAGAGCTGACACTGAACAAAATGGTTTGTTTCCCCCTCCCTTTTTACCCAGTTATTTACTCTCATCAACAGTTTCAGCTAGAAGGGAACTTTGAGTATTATCTCTTCCTGCCTGACCAATTCAGAGTTGACCAAATTAAAGCTTGTTATTAAGTGCATTGATCAAATGCATTTTCAACGTTCTCAGGGTTGGAGTATTGACCACTTCTCCAGGACTCCTGTTCCAGTGATTGACCAAACTCTCAATTTCCTAATTTCCCCATTGCAGCTTTGAACCATTCCTGTATATCCTTGTCACTGGATCCCAGGGAGAAGCACTCAGCACCTCCCCTTCCGTCCCCTCCTCAGAAAGCTGTAGAAAGCAATGCAGTCACACTTCCACCTCTTCCTCTCCAAACTAGGTAAGCCCAAACTCCTCAGCTGCTCCTCATAGGACATTCCTTCCAGTCCCTAATAATAATACTGCTGACCTGTGCAGTACAAAATTATCAGTGGAAAAATAAATACAATGAAGAAGCTTGTTTGGCAACTTAACTTGAGAGATATTTTGATTTTGTCAACTGGCTTAACCCCTTTATAGACAAAAATGCAGTTCTTCCACTCAACTGTGAATCTTGAACACACCTGGTTTACCAGGGTAAGCCCTGGATAGAGGCAGAAGCAGGTGTGCTACCCTGGCCCAAGGCCTGGATGAACTCAGCAGACAGGAAACTTGAACAGACTCTCCCTAAGCAGAACCAGGCTTGTCCAGAACTCCAAGACCCAGGCTTTTCAGGTACAATGCTATTTCATTTTATCAGCTCAAAGAATTTCCCTTGTATTTGCCCTCTGAAATCCACTTCACTAACACTGATCAACAGGCATTTCCACTTTAAAAATTCTAACAAAACCAGCCAAAAAAGCCAGAATGAGCTCTCTGGAGTAGAAATTAAAGGATTAAATTAAATGGATTAAATCATCTCCTGACAGATATTGGTGCAGTTCTACTTGTTTTTACAGCATGGTCCTGTGACTTACTTCAGAAACAGGACAGAGAGAAAAAACATTGATCAGCTTTAGCATTTATTGACTCATTTCCTGTTTCAGCCTGATGAAACCCAAATACATTACAGCCCTTAAGGATGAAAGTAGGAGGAAGTAGCAGCAGGGTAAAGGACAGAGTAGGAGAAAGCAAGCAAAAAAAGGAAAAAAAATACTGTCTTCAGATTTGTATTTCATTTTCTTGCTCCTCAGCTGCACTCAGAAAAGCTGAAAATTTTGTAGATGGAAGGAAATGAAAACAGCTTACTTTGATAAGGGTGCCATCTTCGCCTTGGGATCCCTTGTAAAGCTTCTTCTGCTTCCCACTGCTTATGTTGAAAACCCTGAGGAGAAGACATAAGATAAGATGGCTCATTGTGCCCAAGTATTACTCTGAGGCTGTTGTCACCAGGATCCTTTTCCCTCCCTGTTCCTAATTCCATGTAAAATACAGGAAACAGGGTCAAGCTACAGGAAGTGGAGAAATTATCTCCCTGAAGTATTATCACCAGTCAGTTAAATGGCTCAAGAGACAACCCCAAAAGTAATGCAGAGGCAGAATATCTGAATTAAAATTGAGGCTTTATTCTCAAGTCAATAAACAATCAGTCCTCACTGCTGTAAAAATACCTGGGGTCCTTCATACACAGGATTAAGAGAGCAAGACACTTTATGTTAGAATACAAAACCAAATTACATCCAGTAGTGATATTTTGACCAAAACTCTTAACATCTCACATGGCTACAATAGGAGGAGACACACAAGAGAGACTCCTTTGCTTTCAAGTAGACAGATTGGAGAAATGGATAAAATGGAGAAGGGAATGGACTCCGCCTGTTCAATGATAGTCACATCTAATTCAGGTTTAGGTTCTCACAGTCCCAGGTATTGCACAGGACCACACAGCTTTTCACTAAGTACCTTCAAAACCAAAAATCATCACAGTGTAGAAGTTCTAGCCCCATAGTTCAATGATGTCCCAAGGAGGGTACATTTGTTCCTCTAGTAGAAAGCCTTTGCTTTGCAGAGCAGCCCAGTGAGAAGCCAAGAGTCCCATGGGAATTGCACATATTCACACCTTTTTATCAGTGAGGAGAAAGGCAGAGTTCAACCTCACAGTGCCTCAGATCTGTCTGAAAACGCTGTATCAAAGAACTTAGAGGAATAATGATGGAGATGGGGCTGCCTCATTTATGACTGCAAAAATATTTTCAAGATGAGAAGGAAACCTAACCTGATGTTACGATCCTGGCATCCAATAGCTGCGTATTTCCAGCTGGGGTCGACATCCATGTCATAAAGTGTGGTCTTCCTAACAATGTGATGTGTTCGGGTAAACTGGACCCCTTCTCCTGTCTAAACATATGGGTAACAGCTGTGTCAAAATCAAGTTGTTAATCCATTATTAAAAGCAAGTAAATACAGATGAGTCTTCTCACAGAGCCAGCACAAAACAATCCTTCCCAGGGAGCTGCTGGGAGCAGATGGGACTGGAGGCACAAGGAACATTTCCCTCCAGCCCATACTCTTTCACCATTTTTCACAGTTTTCTCTGGCAGTGAAAGAAAAGCAGATATCCTAACAGTTCTCTATTTCACATCTTGCTGTGAGGGGTCAGGCTGGGAGTAGCTGCATGCTTCACAGAAGTAGATGTCTGAATGTAATCTCTTCTATCGAGTCAGTGGGAGGCACTGAGGCTGAAATAGCAACAAGCTCATACAGAAACTCTGATATCATTCTTTGAAGTAACTCCTTCGTGGAGAGATTACAAATTAGAAGTGTACAAAAAGCTGTGATAAGGTTACCTTCTGCGCAGTGCGGAAATAGATGCTCTTGTCTGCCCCACAGCTTATCATTCGCACTTTCCCATCGTTGGCTGGAATTAAAAGGCAGGAGACAAAAGATAAATACATATACAAGGTGGAGTATTCCACCATAATATTTAATTGATACCACTGCTCATTTATTCCAGTCCTGATTAGCTAAGACTGACTCCATCCTAAGCAGCAAAATAGAAGCCCCCTTCTCAGAGACAGCATTTGTCTTTCATGCTGAGAGAGCACGAGGCCTTAACACAGAGGCTTTTTCAGGACAGATTAGGATGTAATTCTGTCTTCTCCTTCACCAGTATGCTCATATCTCTGTGTACCACAGCACTCTGTGGCAACATGGCACATTCACTCTCAGTAGAAGCTGAAAAGAGGCAATAGGCACTTTTCAGAGCTTAGAGTTGGACAGAGCACATATTTTTTGCTGCCCTTTCTTACTGTAGGGTCAGGCTTCCCATCTTCCCTTCTGGACTCTTCTGTAACCAAGCAGCTCCTTCAACAAAGCAATACCTGATAAAACTCCAATGACAGTGCATCCAGCATAACACAAGTCCTTGAACTGCACACACTTAGAGCATGCCAGAACCTGGCTCAAAGACCAGCACAAATGCCTTAGCTGCCAGGCCTTGAGCCCATGTCCCTCATCTCCTGGGAGTTCAGCTGGCTGCATTCCAGGCCAGCTCACTGATAAGACAGATCAGTCAGAGGAACTTTTGCTGGCCTTGGAGCTCCTCCAGAAAAAAAACCTTGAAAAATCCACAGTTGCTTTGGGGAGCCCCTGCTATGAAGCTTCAGTGAGTCCATTTATTCGAGGTTTTCAAGCTGAAGTTCTCATCCTTGATCCCCAACTGAGCTACACTGCAGCAGCATTGCAGCCACATCTGTCCTGGACACATGCCCCACTGATCTGAATCCTGACCCAACCCATGGACTCATCTTCCTGATCTGAACTCCTTCTTGCCTTGCTAGTATGGACTTGCCTGGCAGGCACTAAACTGGAGCTGACCCTGACCGCTCCAGACTGATCAAGACCTTGAATTGCTTGAATCCATAAGTGATAGTGACCTGTCACTATGGATTTATCTGGTGACCTGGACTACTGGCTGTATCTAGACTTGATCTCTTCCTGTCATGTCCTGTGGTACTTTCCCCCAGCCAGTGGAAAAGGCCACTAGCTTTGCCAGCCTTCCTGTCACCCCTGGCTAAAGGCTTTCCCTGACAGAGCAGCCAGCTCTTGCTGTTCCCAACTGGTGTCTGCTCATCAGTAGCAACTGAGTGCTGGGGATAAAACATGCTCCAGCACCAGGAATGCAAAGCCTTATAGTGGTTTACAATCACAAATTTACTGTACCCAAAACTCCTTTTTTTTGTTGTATTTTAGGATTTTTTTGGACAATGACTGCTCAGAGTTCTCCTAAATTAGTTCTCTCTGAAATTAGTTAGAGGGAGTAAATCATTACAGAAAACAGTTTTCCAAAGAAATGCTGAGGACTTCAATCAGAAAAGGTTTCCTTAGGAGGGAGGAAAGAGAGGAAATGAAAGCAAAACCAGAAAAGAAGGCAAGTATCACCTTCTGTTAAGACTCCAGCTGAAAAAGATGATAAAATAAACCCCAGCTGCAGCTTCAAATTGACCTAGTCCAGTATTTAAGTAGATAAAATTACAGCCACAAGGGGACAACAGCAGTGCTCAAATCCAGCTTTGGAGAGAGGCCATGATTTGCTACCTGCAAATTTCACTGCGGTGATGGAAGAAGAATGTTCATCCAGGGTTTGCTGCAGGCTATAATCCTTCCCAGCATCCAAGACATGAATCAATCTATCCCGACTGGCTGAGGCTAAGAGCTTTAAACCTGAGAGAAAGTGAAAAAAAACTGTAAGATCTTTAAAGACTGTAAGATTTTTAAAACTGCTTCCCAAGTCTTCCTAGGGACAAAACATTATACTGTAGCTAACTGCACAGATGGACACAAAGTAACACACCTGAATTTCACATTATAATAAACAGAACAAGTTTCAATCTCAACATATAATATTCCAATAAGAATTGGAATCCAAGAGAAAAAAGACTTTTTCAAAGTCCAGCTCTACTGTCCAAACACTAGAAGGCTGCTCTGGAATGCAGAAATAGTTCAGCATGACAATTCTAACATACCATAGTTGGACATTTTGACTTGCTCAACATTATATTCATAGGCAAAGGGGAAGCAGCTCAATTGCATTTACCTGTGTCAGGTTTGGAGTATTCCAGACATAGGATTTCAGAATCATGGGCTTCCACCTTCAGCATTTCCTTCAGAGACTGCAACTCATATATTCTAGGACATAATATGGCTCATTTCAGTATGTTTAATAACAAGACCTGGTTATTTTCTCATGCCTGACCAGTCTGCAAACTGCACAAGAAGCTTTATGGGATTACCTGAGAGTGCCTATCCTGTCCCCCGAGGCCAGGTGCTCCCCGCTGGGACTCACACAGACAGTGCGTATCCCCACCTTGGTATCCAGCACTTGTGCATCAGCTTTGTCTGCACTTCCCGCTGAGTTGTAATCAGTGTCCAGAAGTACCTGAGTGTTGTCATCTACATAGATGATTTTCATCAAGTCCTGGGGACACAATACACCCAAAAACATTTACTAGTTACAAAATATTAAAGCAAAGTATCTGCCTTAGAAACTGAGCTCCTGGGCAACATAAACATTTTATTGACAACAGTGCTGTAATTGGTAGGACCTTTTAGTTAGGAGCAAGCACTAAGCCCCTTCAGATTGTAGGATGAAAGTTTCACAGTTGTGTCTCACAATCACTCCTTTCAAAAGATTCAAGCTAGAAGTTGTGTCTCACAATCACTCCTTTCAAAAGATTCAAGCTAGAAACTAACAGCATCTCCTGCACTACTGACAAACTCTGGGATTAGTGATTACAACATATTAGGGCACACAGCAGGGAATATGAAAGACTTCTAGGGATCATCTACGTCAGATGTCTGAGTACTGACAGAAGAAGTAAGAACTTTTTCCACCTGATTCCTGAGGTCAGGGCTGCTGTTTCCAGAGGTCTTCTAATTCAGATAAGAAGAGAAGCAAATGTCTATATGTAATCACTGTTCTGTATGATTAGCCTCCCTCTTATATAGATGAAGTGAGTGCAAACTTTTTCATTGAATTTCCCAAACCTCTGCTTCATTTAATGCCATTTCCAAACAAATCTTAAGTGGTTACACATCACAGAGATGCAGAAAGAGAACCAGCTGTCCTGAAATATACAGTCCTTATCAAAGAGCCTAAGCTTGATAAATCCTTAGGTGGTTTATGAAAACAGCAATAGTCCCCACGACCATTTCAGACAACCTGTCCTTCCACCCAGTACTTTTTTCATGTTTCTTCAGGTTTGCACATTTAATCAGATTTGTGCTCAGTTTACAGACACCTGTGTTGACTTGGAGATCCAAAGAAATTTGGGTCTTAACTTGGGAATCTGGACAAGGAGGTTATCCAAACCTAGGATCTTACATTGCTGAGGATGTTGCGGTGCAGGGCTGTGCCATGGATGTTGGAGCTTTCAGTGTTCCACAGACGAATGGTGTTGTCAGAGGAGCAGGTGATGAAAGAACCAGGGGGGAGACAGGGCTGATTGTTGTCCTTCACCTCTGGATACATCTAAAGGCAAGTAAAACCAACCCCTAAATAATATTGCCTGGCATCTTGCACCCTAGACACCAATAGCAAGTTTCAAAACAAAATGAGACAAAAGGGGTGTCCTCTGTTTTCTAAAGGTGAAAGCCATACAGTTCTGACAAAACCCTATTTGCTTCAGACCAGAGCTTCATAAAGACTTCAAACAAATTCTCACTGAGCTTCCCTCATCACAGAAAACCTCCTTAAGAAGCATGCAACAAACCAGTATCCATTTTTTAACAGTTCAAAGATAGCACCTCAAATCCCAAGCAGTGACCATGCAATAACCACCTTGCACTGCTGTTTGCAACTTTCATCTACTACTGTTAGTTTATAATTCAGAAGGAAGGGTGAAATGCAATTAATAAACAATAACAGAGTTCTCAACCTCCTCCCACTTTTTTCCACTTTCCCCTCTCCTGACCACTATTAGACATTTGCCAACATATTAGTAACTCCATTGTTTCCTATACTTCCTTTCCTTCCCTCTGTCCCTCTGAGGGAAAGCCAACTAGACAGACTGCAAGATGACAGACACTTGAGAGGCTATTTCCACACATTTGGGTGAATATGTTAAGATGGACCAGAGTTCAGATTGTATCACTTGTTTCATGTTTTTGACTCGGAAGCACTTGCTCACCACAGATCTCAAACAATTTTTTTGGAGGTCAGCAATAATGTCTTGTCTGTTTTCTAAAAGGATGCTCTCTATTCAACTCTGTTCAATTCTGCTCTTCTCCCACTTCTCACATTTTAATGGCAAGATTTTTTTTCGCAGTAGCACTACACATTTAGTCTGCCATTGCAGTGCAGCCAAAGAACTGTTCCCAGGCCCAGCAGCAAACACAATAACCACAGGTGAAAATCTGAGTCAATTCTTTCCCTTCTACAGTAAGCGTTTGCATTCAAATTTTTCAGCTCATTGATGGCTCTCTCAGCTGCAACTCACAATCCAACACCTGTGTTTGCAGACAGCATACCTCAATGTTCCACACACAGGAAGAGTGATACAAAGCAGAGTACACCTTGCCCACTTTCTTCGGATCTTTGACATCCCACACATACAGGCTGTGGTCATTGTACACACAGGAAAGCCACTGGTTGGTGGGGTCAAAGGTCAATGCAATTGTGTCTGGATACTTCGCATCTGCCACACCAGAGAAAAGACGGCTGCACAAAGAGAGAACAACAGCCTGGTTAACTTGTGCTCTCTAGGAGTGGGGGCAATGCTCAAACAGGAGAACTCAGATTCTCCACGGGGTGCTGTTGAGATGAACAATATACTGTGGCATCTATAAGCAAAGAGAGTAGTTGGCCAGGACAACCTGTGTCTTGAACAACCAGAGTCCCAAAAGCCTCAAAGTCCCATGGCAAAAGCCTTTCTCCTTGCCATCCAACTGTAGTGCAGTCATACAGGACAAGTCTGCAACAGCTCCGAGAGATCTGCAGCAGGCTTCCAATTTTAATCCATAGAAAGAGCATGCTCCAGATGGCAAAGGTTTGGGGAACAGTTTTAACCCCCATAAGCCTCCCTTGCTCCCTTTCACCCTTCTCCACAGTACCTGGCCTCAGTCACACTTGCGATGTCGGTTCCCAGGAAGTGTGGCTTCGGCAGAGTAGTGACAAAGTGAAGGTTCAGAGGGTTAAAAATCCTCACAGTGCCATCAGCGCAGCCACAGAAGATGTAGTCATGATTCACAGAGATGCAGTTTGCCACCGTGGTCTGAGGAGGACACAGCACATGAGACAGCAAATGAGAAATGTGCTCTCACATCAAAGGTCACCAGACACACGACAGGGAGAACAGCGAATTGACAGACAAAGGAGTCATGGTCAGAAGATCTGTAGTGAAGTCGAGCCCTGGGAGTAATGAAAAGCCTAAAAATCCATTTTTCCTTTCTGAAGAACTTTCCAGCCGAGGTCCACTGCAGATCCCAAGCAGTTAAAAAAAAAGCCCAGTTTCGCTGCCACCCACTATGATGGGAGGCCAGCAGAGCTATACATTTGCTCCAGCTGAGTCCTACTCTGAACACTGCTTTTATTTCTATGACATTCAAGGACACTGGCAGGCAAGCAGCACCTCACCCTGTACTAGCACACCAACACATTACCTGTCAGAAGGGGATAAGAAACAGAAGAAAATGGATTTTCTTTCCCTCCCTTTGGAATCTGTACAAATGGCAGAAAATGATACAAAATGGAGTGTGGTGAAAAGGGGATGAGTTCAATGCAAAAGTTTTTTCAACTTACTGTGAAGCTGTCTGTATTCTGACCGAGAGTGAAAGGCAGATTTTAGAGAGGAGGGGAAAGGAAAGAAAAGAAGAGGCATTTCACTTGAGTGAAAGCATGGACAGACTTTTTCCCTTGATTTTAATTCACTGGATCCTTTTAGATGGGCATGTTACATTCAGTTGAAAGGAAAACAAGCATGATCAAATTTTTAGCTATGGGCCATCCTGGTGGTTTAGAATATCCAAATCAACTAACACCGTGGGAACCTGCATTTGAGATGCACAAGCCAAGTAAGACACTGCAGAGTGGGTAGAAACCAGAATCCTTCTAAAACTCCTACTTGCCCCAGCCAAGCCAGGAGGGACCGTACAGGAGTTGCCATAAGGACATTGCTTTGCCAGTAGAGCAGTCACTGTAATGCCGAGGCATGAGAATGAGAGAGCCTCAACAATCAATAAAATACCTTTGCCAAGAAATAGCATTATTTTTTCCCAGCCTTCCAGAGTACATTGCAGGGTTGCAGAGGCACAATTATTTTCACTGCTGGTGGTCAACTTGTACCTCCAGGTGCCCTTCTTATTTGTTGTTCCTGCTCTGCTTGAGCAGAATAGGAGGATCTAAAACTCACCCTCAGCTCCACCCACTTGTCTAGCAGCCTTTTTTCATTGAATTCACAGAGCAGGCCTGAGGATGTGATACAGAAAGTGCTGTCAGCTTTTTTGCCTCTTCCACAAGCCACATCAGCAAAGAAGTTGTTCCTCAGTTCTCCAAGCAATCCGGAGCGACCCAGCAAGGGGACTGTGGCATTCACCTAACAACAGAAAACAGTTTGCTACAAATACAGCAAAGCACTTCAGGCAAACAGTGATTTTTCATAACATCAATCCCTGAGTGCTGAAGTGATTCAAAGAAAGAACTGTCAACAGTCTAATAAGGAGTGGTTTTACTTGGTGTTCATGTTACAATTGTTCATGAGCACAAAGAAAAAGAATCCACCATAGGAGGATTCTGCCTCCCAGAGAATAATAGAACAGCTAAAAATTTAAACGCTTTGGTTGATGCTTCAAAATTACATTCACAACCTTTTTGAGATGCTCATACTAATGTCAAATAGCTCTCTCTACCTCTCTCCTCCAAGGAGTTAAACAACTGCAGCTCTTTTCTAGTTTATTTGTCCTTCAGTATATGTGACTACTGAACTACAAGCATGCTGCTATGCAATTCCAGGAGCCATGCCCCTACCTCAGTGTAGGATAAGACATGCTTTTGGTGTTGTCAGCCCATGAGACTTAAGAGCCAGGGGTGAAGACTATCTTTGCATCCCAGAAAAATAAAAAAGTTCCCACTTCCCACACAGCTCACTGGGGAAAAATCCACCCTGCTCTAAGATAGACATGCCTGTTTACAAATTTGCCTTGATGCACTTTCTCTCACCTTGGAGGTTTTGCTGTCATCCAGGTACCAGAATTTGATATGTCGATTTCCAGCAGTGACAAAGTAACTGCAGTCCTCCGAGAATGACACTGCTGTCACTTTACTTGAGACTTTGTTGGCTGCCACTACGATGTTTTTCTGGAAACATAATTGTTTAGATTGGTTAATTTCTTTGCTCAGAAGCAAAGGAAACTAATTTCAATTACAGGCACATATCCAGTACAAGCAGTGCAGCAGGGAAAAGATGAGATCCAAACTATTTTCCATTCACCTCTCTATACAACCTCCCCAGCATTAGCTGGGAACATTGATTTGGCAGACAACGTAATTCACATTTATATTCAATTTTTGTTCCACATTAACTATGATCAAGAACAAATCAGCAGGCACTAGTGCCTGCAGGAACTTGGTGTCTGAGCCATGACAAACATGTTGGTTTCACAATCACCAGGAGCTCAGAGCAAACCCATTTCCTTTCCTAAACAGCAAATACAGATGTAGGCCAGCACAAGGAAGAATTCCCCCAACCCCCAGGCAGGAACGAGGGCATTGCACTCAAGATGGGGAACAGGTTTTTTTCATGGAGAAAACTGTACTGGTTCTTCCATAAATTCTTCTCCCTCTTTAAACATATCATACATTATCAAAAGACTAAAAATACAGATAGACCATCCCTGTACTGGAAGAGAAAAAGCAAAATCTGTTATATCTCAAATGTACGCCTCAAAACGTCAGAGTTTGAGAAAAGAGGAAGTAGACACAGGGACAGAAAACAGGACAGACACTGCTCAAGCAGATTGGTCAGATAGCAGGAGGAGCTCCCTGTTCACAGGGTCATAGCTCAGTTTTCCTCCCCCTTCTTAGAAGTGAGAATAAAAAAGTTTTCTGCTTTGTCTGTTGTGGGTTTGCAAGCACATGGCTGACAACAGTGCACCCCTTTTCTTGCTGTTTCCTTTACCCTTCCTCTCAGGGATTCAGCTGCTCCCACTCTTCCAGACACAATGCCCTCAGCACACAAACCATGTCACTCCCAGGGCCCCACTGGACTGTGTGCTGGCAGAACTGAAGAAACCAGCACCAGAGGAGTCTAGCCTGCTGCATCACCACCATGTAGGATCCCCCCCCACCAGAATGAAGGAAAGGCAAGTGGGATAGCAATTATCATAACTTCTTTCAAGACGGTGCTGAGAGAAAAGTTTAGGACCCTTGCATACCTCAACATCTGGATCATTGCTGTGGTCCTTCTTTAAGGAAGCAAGGGAATCCTACAGACAACATGCATTTTCTTTTCCATCACAGTCAAATTACTAGATCTACCAGTCAGGAAAAAAAGGGAAATCAAAGCAGCAGCACAGAGGATAGACAGCTTGTGGTTAAAAGTGCAGCAAAATGCTTCAGAAGACCTGTATCCTCAGTCTCTATTGACTTTGGTCAAATAAAGTATCTCTAGTTTTGGCATTCAGTCTGCAAAGTAAAGGTCAGCTAGACCTCCCATAACAGTCTGGAGCATAAGCTTAAAGAGTGTGTTCTTCAGTTCTCACATCCACAGTTACACAGTGAACAGAAAAACCTGGATAAGCAAGGGAAAGCAAAACTACTTGTACTGTTTCACACAAGCCACACATTGTGATCCTGTCCAAGTCACTACTTTCATTTGTATAACTAGAAATAACCCAAAGGCTGAGCACTCAGTTTTCAACACAGACATACACATTTAGGTTCTCTTACTACACACACTTCAGCTATGTAAAAGAGTAGCAACATCAAACTTCAGCTCACACAGAAGACAACAGTGAGATCTTAAATTACAGCACAGGAAATGCAATGAAAAGAGTAACATGCTAAATGAGTATGGACTTACAAGATGCAAGAGAAGAGAACGCTCTGGGGAGACCTTATAGTGGCCCTCCAGTATCTAAAGGAGGCCTACAGGAAACATGGGGAGGAACCCTTCATCAGGGAATGTAGTGATAGGACAATGGTAATGATAGATTTAGATTAGCTATTAGGAAGAATTCTTTACTGCGAGGGCAGTGAGGCACTGGAGCAGCCAGCCCAGAGAAGCTGTGGATGCCCCATTCCCAGAAATGTTCAAGACCAGATTGGACAGGACTGTGATGGGGTTTCCACCTGGTCTAGTGGGAGGTATCTCTGCCCATGGCAGGGGAATGGGAACTAGGTAATCCTTAGGATCCCTTCCTTCCAACCCAAACCATTCTATGAACCTATGAGATTTAACAGACGTATTGATTATTTTCTTAAAGCATATCTCTTTTAGAGAGGGTTACAGCACCTGAAGAAGTAGCAGGAGCATCTATTACAATACAAGACTCCTAGCCTACCAAAAAGAAATGTTTCTTTTCTTATGTACAAAGAACAAATGCTTACTAGAGGATAAGACACAGACTTTGTTTCTACCAAGTGTTGCCTCGATCCAGTGACAGTCAGAGTGACTCTCATTAGCTCTCACCCATTATGAATTCCCTATGTTGCTCTTCTCACCCATCAAGGCTGGAATCAGAATATCACAAACTCTGACATAAAAAAATCAAAACAAGCCAAGAACATTCACTACACTACAAAAGAAGTCTCTGGCCGATGAGAGTTTCCTTCCTTAACCTCCTAAATTAGTTTTTAATAAGACTCTAAAAAAGCACAATGGTTTGGCAAGGTTTCAAAGTCCAGTCTTTTCTGGCTGGACAGCAAAATGTCACACATCTCCAAGCATAAATAAAATCCCTTCATGGAAATTACTTAGACCTTCCCTAAGAGACCATAGCTTTCTCTCTTGTCCAAATTTGTCTGTGCCTATGAATGTCAAAAACCAAACAATAACTACAGAATTAAAAAAAAAAAAACCAGAAAGCATGATGGAACTGAAATAGTCTACAATTAGACTGGAAGCTCTTTTTGATTCTTTTTGATTCAGCAGCACCTTCTGATCCACCAAACCTCCTAGAAAACTTACCTTCCATGACCACACATTGACAATCATGTCATGCTGGTACCCCACAGAAACAATGTACTTGGAGCTGGGGGAGAAGGCCACACAGGCCACACCGTATTTGTGCTCCTGGAGCTCCGCCACCTGGGTTCGCTCAGCCACGTCCCATACACGAACTGCTGGCATGTGTCCGCTCTGGAAGGGACAAGAACAGACACAGAACAGGAGGTGGAACCCTGAAATCAGTTCTGACAGATCCCAACATGTAAATGCAGGAGCTTGGAAAAACATGCCTAGATGGTGCACTCACAATAGATTTAGTGGTTCCTTTGATTCTTTAAAGCCCAGGTTGAGACCAACAACATATGGAGTATATCCATTTAAACAGCTGTGCAAATTAATACCACCTCCCCTGCTTTAAACCTCTTCTTATGTACTCACAAAATGCTAGTCCCTGTTCTGGCCAGGGACTAGAACAATACTTTTGATGCACATCCCTGGTCTTTGTAATGCGAGCTTACAGCCTGCTTGTGAAAAGGATTATAATAGATTGTTATCCCTAGACTCAGTGAACAAAAAACCCTCACACCCTCTGCTCCTAACACAACATAGACATCTGAGATATCAAGCCAGGTCATGCCATACAAAAACATGACATGGCTGCTGTGGGAACTCTCACACACCATCTGAGGGACTAGCAGCATCATTTCTGTCACAAGGTAACACACAGATGCACTCTGCCCAAAAGAGTGCAGGCGGGATAATACCAGAGAAAAAGACATGGCTGGAACAGAGCCTCTCATTTAATGTTTGTTCTCCAGAGAAACAGAAATGCCAATTCAGCACTTTCTGCCAGACAAATCTATTCTTTTGTTTAATTGTTTGTTATTAAGCCAAATTAAAACAAGGCACACAAGTTGAGCTGAAATGCTGGCCAAAAAATGTGCTTGATGGGCAAATCTTACTCAAGTAACTGCTCATGATTTCACATTGAAGTCTGTCAAAACAGCAGCTTGTAAGATAACATAACCATGGCAACATAGCAGGATGGTACCTTTTTGATTGGTTTTAAGTTAGTCATTTGATTGTGTGGGAGAGACAAGTCTCATCACAAGTAAAAGTCAAAGCTTTAAAAGCTTAAAATTGTGCATGTTTTAATTGCCTTGTTCAAAAGCTCTGCTAAGCAACTGCTTGTGGCCTGGAAAAATGCCATGGTCAGATTTAACTACAGCTGGTACAGATCTCCCTTCTGCAACCCAGAGCTCAGGTCTCAAGGTGCCTTGCAAGATGGTACAATGAGCTGAATCAGCTGTTCCTCAAAACAACTGCTATACTTAAACACATACATACATATAAATATTTCCCAGTAACTTAGCATACACCCCAAGACCTTAACAAACTGCATTTGCATTTCATCTTTTAAGAAATGTTCAACAAAAGGGAGCTCTGTGTGACCTCCATGGACAAGGACTCTACACCTCTATGGGGAGAAATAAAAAGTAATAAATAAAATACTTTAGGAAAAATGTTTTCTCATGAATTTGACATAGGTAAAGGACATTTAATATGTGTGGTAGCCAAGGACTAACCTCCATGCTCTCCTCCCTGAAAAGTCAGCCATACAGAAAACTAAGGTGTTATTAGGCAGAATCAGCATAATGCAGCTACAAGGGAGCTTGACAAAGTGAACTCAGAAAGCATTTCCCTGTGGGATAGGGGTTGAACTAAGACACGACTGCTGACACCAGCAGGGGACACTGCTACACTAAGCAATAATTCAAATGTCAGACACATTGTTGGATACTAAAAAAAAGAAATGGTTTTACAATACGGCAAGAGGAGACATGTTTTGCAACAAAGGGGGGGGAAAAAACAAAACAAAACAAAAAAACTCCACAACAAGAATAATAAATAATAAACCCCTACAAAGTTCAAGTATGCTATAAAATCTCATGTTCTCACTAAGAAACTAATGACAGCATCTAATGACAGAAAATTTATGCTAACTTTCTCTCTGTTGTGGTAGCCTCCATCCAAAAAACCCACTCTTGCTTCTACCCTTGGTCTGATCCATACAGGATCCAGGCCCAGGTTTGGAGCCACCTGGCAACATGACAGCTGCCATCATGGTGACCACAGTAGGGACCACTGGAGAGAGAGAATGGTCTCCACCTCAACAGATCCAACACAGGACAGTGATTGATGCACTTCTCCCTGTGGCCGAGGCTCAAGAGACCTGTCTCACACGTGCTCCCTCCCCATCTCTTACACAGGCACAGGGACTAGTGGTAAACTGCCCTTAATCACACACAAGAGCAAACTAAGCCCAACCACACAGAGGTCAGCATTTCTGTGGATTTTTAACATCCAGCAATTCCAGCCTCATGACAAAGCCCATGTCTTGAGCTTCTAATGTAGGACAGACACAGAGTGTACTCATCCTTATTCTCCCCTTTGGGCATGTTGGGAAAGAGGAAGCAATTGTTGACCCCAGCCAAACAATGCCAAACCACAGGCAACAGTATCTTCTGTGACTATTCCTTAAACTCCACTCCTCCTGCACTTTTCATTTTACCCACAACACTATTTCTGGCTTCAGTTACTTCCTGAAATCCTACAGGGACAATGCTAACTAAGCTCAGGCCAAGATTCAGGACCATCCAAGTACTCTTTATTGATGCTAGAGTAGAACAATGTTGCATGTCCTTTTGCTTATTTTCACTCTACCTTCAGCCCACAGATACTACACCAGAAGACCCATCCCCCAAGCTGATATGTTGAAAAACTCCTAGCAGGAGCACCCACCACCCATAAGCCAGCAGGTCCCCTGAACAGTGAGGCAACACTGAAACTCGCTTCTCTGTTTGAAAACAGCCTGTTTCTAAGTCCCTCTGCCCTGCCTCAAAATGTAATGGACAAGGTGCACCCCCTCTCCTTTCACACTTACCTCTCCTGTAACCAAATATTTTCCATCTGGAGAGAAAGCAAGTGCTGTAATTGTTTTCCTAAAACAGAAAATAACAGTGAGAAACATTTCCAACATGTGACTTCATTTCAATACATCATGACTGGGGAGTAGGTTGGGATGAACTGAAAAGATGCTAAAGTTATCCATAATAGGCTGACATAATGGCTTTGCTTTGCCATGGGGATTCCTTGTTGCCCAAGTCTCAAACAGCAGCCCACAGCAGCAGAAAAGCTCCCAAAGTTGAGGCTCATCACTGCACCTTTATTCCAGGTGCAGGACCATGTCACACTGCTGGCTTCAATAACGAGGTCATCATTTTAGGTGGAGAAAAAAAAAAAAAAGTCAGACTTACTTGCTACCACGGAGCTGTATTAAGAGCCCCTCCACGTCATGACCATTAGCAGATGCTCTTGGGATCACGTTTCTGAGGTGGTACTTTGACAGCAATAGCACCTCATGAGAGAAGGAGCTGGAGTCAAAGCAACCTATCCCTAAGGCAGTTCTAACTGGAGGGGATTTAGCCTGGAGCAACAGCAGCTCCTTCAGTCAGGCCATAAAAGTCTTGAATTCACCTCACAGAAAGCAAGTCCAGTTTAAAGCTTTACTCACCTGGAGCTGTTTAGAATATGATGTTGCTTATTTTTTCTAGGGTTGAATAGCACAACAACACACCTAGACAGAGGAAACAGAAAAACAAAGAGAGATTACTACATGCATAAAGATAACAAAGAGCTATCCTTGCTGGGAAAGCTAAAAACAAGAAACAAAAGTAGCCCCAAAAAACTGTTTTATCCTGTAATCTCAGGCTGAGATGAGGTTAACTAGAAAACAGAAGCAAAATAACAATCCAGAGGGAAATCATAAGTCTTTCCCATGTTGAGGAATACCATTTGCTAGTACCATAAATAATTACCTTTCCACCTTCCAGGAGCCCTGAGTCTGATTGTCCAACCTGGACAGAAAGGTTTACCACGAAATCTTGTGCAAAGCCCTAATGGATTATGTCCCTTGCTATAAAAGTGGCCCTGTGTACTGGGCACGAAACCAGAGTGCCTGGTGTAAGAGTAAGAAGGTAGGGTAGAAGGAAAGAGGGGATCTTTCGAAAAGATTTGGTGGGGGGGCGGATGAAGGGGAATTAAAGGCACCAAATTTCTGTGCCTGACCTTATCAATAGACAGGACAGAAAGCAAGGAGTATAGCACAAGAAGTGACTGGCTGGTTGGGAAGTGAAACATACAGTGCCAAAAAACTATTGACCTAAGAAGTCTATCTGCATAAACAACAGGGGTCTTGCAGATACCTCTCAGTAAGCTGAACTGCAAAAACAAGCAATACTAAGCTCCTAGTAAGCAATATAATTACCTCCACTGGGAACAAAACACCTCTATTGCTGACTGGAGGGGGAAGGAAGGAGAAGAGATCCCATCTCCCACTACTCTTGCCCACAACACATTGCCTTGGTGCCTCAGCCCACCACAACTAGACCGACAGGAGTCACAGGTACTGCAGCCTTCCCCACTTCCCACAAACACCCTATACACCATTTTTAAATCTCCATGTAACAGCATTTGTCTTGTAGCAGAGGACAAGACAAAGTAGCAACCAGTAACAGAATATGCTGTTACAGGAATGAAAAGATAGAGTAACAATTGCTCTGATGACCTTGTGCCCTATTTTTCACTTCACTTCTAAATTAAAAACTTTGAGTTTTGTCTGTCCCTCTACAAGAACACACTGCTGGAGTTTGGAGAGTCCCAGCTCCTCCTTCACTGCAGTGTTGGGAGAGCACTGCAGGATGTCCCTGCTACACTGCCAGCAGCCTTTCCTGCACTGCGTATTTCACTTACATCACCATCATGCTGGGACTTGCTTGCAACATACAGCAGCTTACAGACATCAATTACTGGGAGAAACATGCAAGACATATAGAAGTAGAGTTGGCCTGGAAAAAAAGACTAGAGGAGTTGGCCTGAAACAGCCAAGCAGAAAGGCAAAAAGCTGGGGTATCACAGAAATCCACGGCAGAACCTCTCCTAAAGACCTCAACAATATTTCAAGAGAGGTGGTGCACACTCATGCACAGGACAAAGCACACATTGGCACCACACTGCCCAGAACAAGAGCCACATCCTTCCAGGCCCCACCCCACATCCCCAGCAGCAGGCAGGGCCAGTAGTGCTACAGACATAGCTCAGGGTTGACAGGGCCCTGCAATGTCTCTGACATCTCCTCACTGAGCCCTGGCATCTGGCCTTTCCCTTGGTCTGACCTGGCTACACTGCCAGAAGGACCGTAAATTTTGAAATGGAAAATAGGGTAGAAAAGAGGAGTGACACACCAATACCTTGAGCTGAGAATCCTGGCTGAACCTGCCAGACTCCATTAACTCTGCTAGCGTAAAACCAGCATCCAAAACATCAAGGATGCATGGGATATGCCCTCCCCTCCTTTAGACTATACTCTCAAGCCATGCCATTTCACACACCCCTATCCACTCATGCCTTACCTTGAAGGCCAAGGTAATAAATGCACCAAACTTTCTTGACAGTTAAAAGGCAGATAGCCATGGCTGGAGATGTAACCTTGTGGAAGAGCAGAGAAGCTGTAGATAAGCACTTTGTTCAAACCAGGATTAATCCTTTTCCACTTTTTACTCTGGGGAACCAAACTGGAGAGTTTCAAGTCACAGCTATGCTATCTGAGGGATCAGTGCAAAGAAGCGGGTAGTTTGTGATCCATTAACAAGTCAGGGAAGGTTAAGCCTTGCAAATCACAAGATATGAAATAGGAAGTTAGCAGATGTGAAAACCTATCTAATCCTGAGCCTCCAGCTAATCATAAAAGCATAGCAGAACCCCATTATGTGCAGTTGGATAGGGGTAATGAACCAAAATCCTGCAGAGTTACAACTAGGATGAATTGTGCTTAAAATAAGCTTCAAGAAACCAGAAAGAATAAAGGGAAGACATGAAATCTTGGCAAAGTCTTTCCTATGCAGCTCTTAAATTTATGTTTCTGTTTTATTGTAAGGAACTCAGTAGAGAAACAGGACTTCAGACAAGCAAACACAGTTTAAAAACCAGAGGAAAGACACAAAATACAAACCATGATCTTCAAACCAGGCAAGCAAACAAAGTCACTTCCTAGAATAGTGTAGTGAGCCACAAAGGTCCAGGGCTTTGCTATTATTAACTTACAGGACAGAACTTTTAGCCACTTAAAATCATGAATTTTAGCTCAGTGGCACCCCAGAACAGCCTGTGTGCCAGCACCTTGACCAAATTCAGAGCCTGCAGGGGAGGCAAGAGACACCACACAGCTCACACACCAAAGCAAATCAACAAAACACTCAAGAACCGCACAGCTCCTGGTGCCACAGCAGCCATCACAAATGTGGATATTTTAATGTTGTCTTAAGACAACTCTATGCTTGATTCACTGAGTTTGGCCCATAATTTACAAATAGTAACTGGAGGGATAGGGAGATAAATCACAATATCTCCTTACTGGTGAGCAAGCACTAATTCATACCATGAAACATGAAAATACTTTTAACTCATAAACTCAGCAAAAGAAGATATTTTGATTTGTCACTTAATAATTAATATAACTTAGTAATTAGTTATGATGTTCTTGCCAACAAAGCCATTTATCCAGGATTAGTCTTCGGAACTTGCTTTCTTAAATTATCTGCTACCCAACAAAGCTACCCTACTGCAATGCCATCCCATGCTGATTTTCCACCATTCCTCTCCTCTCCACTCAGAAGGACAATGAAGGTTTCAGCCAGCTCCAAGGACACCCTATTCAGCAAGATGGCAAACCACAAACCATCAATCATACTGTGGCGCACAGATCTTGTTCTGGGAGTCAGGGGCATCCAAGTTTGTAAATTATCTCCATCTCAAAATGCTTAGAAAGGTTTCTAGTCCATTCCATCCCAAAGAGCACATTTCCACAACAAGCAAAAACTATTTCTAGTTCTCTAATCTCTTCAGAGTGTTAGAGAACATCCTCAAAAGTTGCATCAGGAAGGTTTAGACTGGATATTAGGAAATATTTTTTCACAGAAAAGCTTGTCAAGCACTGGAACAGGCTGCCCAAAGAAGTAGTTGAATTTGAATTGCCATCCCCAGAAGTATTTAAAAGATGCAGAGATGTGGCACACAGGGACGTGGTTCAGTGGTGACTTGGCAGAGGTAGGTTAAAGGTCCATGATCTCGGGTTCTTTTACAACCTAAGTTCAGTGACACAGAGTGGACTCTATTGTCTGCTCAGACACTCACAGCTCAGCTCGGTCCAGCAGCAGCTTCCTAAATAAGGCAGTTCAGAGCCCATTAATACTCTGGGCATGCTCCATTTTAGCAAAGGAAATCAGTCTAGCAAAATAAACAGAATGGAGACACTGAATGATCAGGTTGCTGACCCACCTACTCCACACTGCTGCCTGGTCCAGTAAGGCACCCTCGAGAGAGTCAAAGTATCTACCCCTTTCCATTTATGCATGCTTTAATATTACAGCAGTCAAAATAATAAAAATAACTATAATGGAAAATTAGTTGCATCAAAGAGCATATATCCATCTAACCATCCTCTGCCTGTGTCTCCTTTATAAGGCTGCATTCAGTATTTTACAGCCAGAGGGACAGGAAAGAATGCATGGTAAGAGAGCACTGATCTTCTTATTCACAGCTTCCAACTGTTCATGAAGACAAAGCAAAGTACTTCAAACCTAAAGTTCCACTATGGCCACATCACCTGTTCTGCTCACTCCACCCCTTTCCCAAAATGAAGCTTTCAAAACAAATTCAAGTGTTCAAGACACCTTTGAAGAAATATTTTTGAATACTAGTGTCAACATGCAAACTAAGGCTAGCTCCAGAAACGCCTCACATGAGACTTACAGAGCCTAGCACACGTTAGCTGTTGTGAACATTAACATTGTCAGTACTCTTGTTTCAGCACAAACCTTACCTCCTCTGCAGCTGCAGACAAGGCTTGATGAAGACAGCACCTTTTTAATCCACAAGTATATTCTGATTTCCAAGACATTTATAGAAACTACTTGCTGCTCTATGGATTGCTGCTGTACAAACCATGTATCAGCCAGCTGAGATCAAGTGTCCTGCTTGTTTGCATACTGGTTCCTTGCAGAGGCTGTTGGCAATGGAACACATATTGAAAGGAATTTCTAGGTCCATGGTGCCACCTCACAACCACTAAGCACATCTTCCTGATGCAAGCAGGTTTTATAAATAGCTTGGCCGGGCAATCTTTCCCAGTATGCCTCTTTCTTGTGAGACATCCAGGTAACACAAGGGAAGGACAGAATTAGCTCTCACAGCAGTGGCAAAGGTTGTTACTGGCAACATGAGCATTGTCCATCAGGGAGCCTATTTGTATCAGCCAACAAGAAAGGTTCCTTGCAGAGCTTTCCAAACTTCCAAGAAGGCACTATCTTATATGTTCACAAGGAGGGAGGAGGGAGAGGAAGAGGAAAGGAGGGGGTAGGCATAGAATGTCACTGTAGTTTTCATTGGCTCCAGCAAAAGCAAAAAGACACACAAAATATAAAATATAAGCAAATTTCCTAGGCTAAATATCATATAAGGAGTGGAGAGGAATCAGATGTCAGTACCACGTTTACACACAGTATCTGACTCACTAAGTTA